CGGGGGGGGAAAGTTGGGGAGGAGTGTAAAATGAGGGGCCTCCTACCCTCCCCCAATATCTCCAAACGTCTGAGCAACTTGGAAGTAAGCTGAGCTGCTACTCTTAGGCCCGGTTTACACTAGAAAATTAGGTCAGTTTAACTATGTTGGTCAGGAGTGTGAAAAATCCACATCCCAGAGCAGCACAGTTAAGCCAACCTAAATCCTTGTGTAGACAGTGCTAGGTCAACAGAAGAATTCTTCTGTCGATCTAATTACTGCCTCTCCCATCGGTTTAGGTAGTGTGTACACTGAAGCACTGCAGCAGTGCAGCTGTGCTGCGGCAGCATTTTAAGTATAGACAAGCCCTAGCACCTGCTTGACCCCTGTCTCTGCTCATCATACCCCATACTTGCAGAAATCACAGCAAGACAAAAACATAGGCAAGGATACCTGGAGAGAGGAGAAAAAGTGACAGACGGGGAATGGAGGGGCTGGTAAGGGGAGAGCTGATCAGCAGCACTGAAGGTGGCAAGCAGAGAAATTGTCCTTTCTGCTGGATTTGTCTAGTAACTCCCCTCACACAGAAGTTGCTGGGCCAGCTCAGCACCAGGCTCCATGTCTCCTCATGGAAGGCAACTGCAATGCCAAAAAGAGATCTTTGTTCCAAGATGATAGCATGAGGAGAGGCACTGGGCCCATCACCTCCCACTTCTGATCCCCTGACTCCTGTGGCAGTGTGGATGCAAAATTCCAGTCACAGTCATCATGGGAGGCCTGACACTGTGTAATCGAGGAAAAGGGGATTTGACTCCTGTTTCCCACCCACTAGGAGATGCACACCAAAAGAATCACTCACATCCAGGATAAGAGCACATTGCCCTCCTGCCACACACACAAGCAGGAGCTGTGGAAGCAGAGGCAGAGATCAGGGCCACCCCTGAGATGCTGGCCCCTGTTCATTCTGGATAAGTAGAGAGAAGAGTACACATGGGACCACTGCTAGCCAGGGGACCTGTGATGAAAGGAATCTAAAGCTGGCAATGATCTGAAGGGCACCCAGCATCTTGGCTCTGTGAACTAATCAAGCAGACAGCAAAAAAAGAGCCTCCAACACCACCTTCCAGGATCTTGATCCCACTCAGTGAGCCAATTCATCTCTCATGGGGACCCCATTCGCACACATCCTGTATCATCTGACACCACTGATCACTAGATATCACCGTGCTGCCTCTCAGAGGCTGTAGGAAGCATGGAAATGCCCTGAAATGGCTACGCTCCTTCTTCTTAGACTTTGCCCAGATGATCCTCAGGGCTATTTCCTCTATCTCCAAGACCTTTACCCACAGAGCCCCACAAGGCTCTGTCCTCTATACTAGGCTTTTGGGAAAGCTGGCAAAGCACCAAGGGCTGCAGTGCCAGCAGTAGCACTGAACATACACAGCACCATCTTCCAGCTCTCTCAAAGCTGGGACAAAATTAGCACCGAGATGAAGCTGATACTGGTAGGAAGAGGGGTGAACTTCCCTCCCTCCTCTATAACATTGCTTACTGTCAAGGACCGTTACCTTCAAATCACCAGGTCAGTCAGTAGCCCCAGAATCTCTTTTTGGACTCTTTACTGCTATTGGATGCCACCAATAGGCCCCTTACATCTATGATTGACAGAATGGTGCACAATATGTTGGCCAGACACGGACATGCCTGTACTGATCCATGTGTTCATTATCTCCCGGCTTAGCCGCTGCAACTCATATCTTAAATGGAAGCCACATTCCTTGAAATAGCCATTACTTGCAAAAGAGGCAGCAGCCCACCTGCTCAGTGACTCAGACCCCTGAAGACATCACCCCAGTCCTCTGCTCTCTGAACTATGCCCATGGAACAAAGTCCAGTTTATTCCAAGCCCTCCAGGGGATTAGTACTGGCTACCTGGAAGACAGCTCTCTCCACAGCCATGACAGCAACATTCCCCCAAACAATGAAACCAGCAACCATTGAGGGAGGCTCATGAGACAGACCATAGATGGAAGCTGGTCCTGGGCTATGGAGCTCACTAGGCCAGAGAGAAGAATGACCATGGATCAAATGCAAATGGATCAGTTTCAAATGCAAATCTTGTTTCTCTTGCTCAGCTTTCCCGGAGTAATTCACACAGTGTGGATATGCTCCTACAGATGTGTGGATACAGAGATGTGCATGGATATGAACACACACACACACACACACACTCACTCACAAGCAGTTGATCACACAGAAAGTAATGCTTGGAATCTACATACATTTTTGTTGAATTTTTTGCATCCCAGAAGTTTTACTTTGTCTAATGCACCATAAGATAAGGAGAGGGGGGAGGGCGGGGTCACAGAGTCTAAAACGTCCGGAAGGACTTCAAACCTGAGAGAGAAGGACTAGCTGCTGGGCTGTGCCCCCTCAAGGGGCACCCACTGCCCAACTGAGATTGTGAGTTTTCTGGGGCAGGGACTGTGTCTGGATCTGTTTGGAAAAATTTGCAGTAACAAATGCTATGATTTAACTATATCCTCTGCTGCTGTGTCAAGTCTTCTCTATCTCATAGAACCAAGAGTGGAGGGAGCAGATCAACTAGTTTTGACCTATCCCTCTGGGGCTCTGGGATTGAGGGGAATCATGCCCAGAGGAGTCCTTGGACCAAACTCAGCCCTTGGACCTGCAACCACCTATACTCCAGGGATGGACTTGACCCCTTAGTCTCTATGTCAGATCTCAGATCACAGTGCCTCCCTCCCATTCTCTCACTACCAGCTGAACTGCAGTGCAGGCAGAATTCCATCTCATCTCCTCCCCACAACCTGGCAGAATCCAGCATCTGTGACACACCTGAGATCAACAATTGCTGCTGCCCATCTCCCTCTTCTCCTCCTGCATGCAAATACTGCCTCTGCTTGCAGGGGCCTGGAAGCCTTTGCAAAGACCTGCAGTTGCACAGAAATTAGAGTTTCACTGTCAAATCTAGGGATCCCTTCCCAACTGTACTGAAAGCCCATATCCCTGCTGCCTGCATGGGGCGAAACAGGGGGAAGTCCACTTGCTGGGGGAGAAGCCCCCATCCCTCTGAGTTGCAGCCTGATAAAGCCTCTCTGGATTCCCAGGGTGTGGATTATATGGGTGACTCAATGTCAGGGAGGGCGTGGTGAGGGAAGGGCATCTGGTCAGAGTCTTCAGCAAAGCTGCTCCCCTTGGCGGTCTCCTGAGCAGGTAAAACTCACCTGGCTGTGAAGATTCCAGCCATTCTGATACCAGGCAGCCTCCAGATCATTACCGTCACCTCTGATGCTCTCATCTTCACTCACAGTGCAACTGCTGACCTTTCTGACTGTCTGCATGTTCTTCGGGAGGACCAAAGCAGCAGGTTTTCTCTTTCTCCCTCTGTTTTCTCTGAAATGTGATGTCCAAAGCATTTGTTGCTGCTGCTTGGTTCCTTGAGGTTTCTAACATTGGAACTACAGGGTGGCCAGAAGGAAACACATGGCTGCAGGGAGGACGGATAAACTTGTGGTTTACACTGGGAATCAGGACTAACATGGTCACGGACTCAAGTGTGACCCTGACCAAGTCCCAACCCCTCTGGTGCCTCAATGTCCCCATGTGTACATGATAGTTGAGGATCCTGACCTGGCTGGGCAAAACTGTAATGGGCGGAGAGATCATGAAGTAGGGAGATGCTGCTCAGGGTATGGAATGAGTTCTGGAACCAGCTCCTTGTCAATGTGAGTCCGGGTGGATATCCTAAGGGATTCTCCTTGGCCATAGGGGTAAGGGCACATCAGTGGAGGGCCCCAGAAGGAGTGCAAAAATCACAGACACAATGGACAGAACCTCAGAAATTCTCCAAGGGAACTTGAAACGCATTAGCCCCTAAGATCAAGGGGGGAAAATTATTACAACTGTTTCTAACATGTTCATAGGTGTTCAGAAGGTAACAAATAAGAAGAGCTATTCCCTGAGACGGCTCTGAAATTTCAGCTCAGTACCATAATGCAAATAGAGCAGGCAACTGAAGCTAGGACTTCTGGGCTCTGTTCCCATTTCTGCTACTGTCTCATTGTGTTGACTCTGCACAGGTCAGGTACTCCTCTCAGTGCCTTGCTTTTCCCATTTATATAATGGAGATCCTGCCAACACCCAGCAGTGCTGGGAGGGGGCACTCTCACTTAGCATCTTTAAAGTGCCTGAAGCACCTCAAAGGAGAGGCCTCCTCCTACAGGGACAAAGTACTCTCATTCTTACTGCACAGAAAAGGTAAGTTTACCTACTCTTGCCATTTCAGCCCTAAAGCTTCCCCTCCCTCCCCTTCCTATTTATGGCCACCTGATACTCAGCACCCACTGATCTACACACCTGCAGATGGTTGGCCTCACATCAGTACTGCAGCTATTAACCCTTTATATTCCAGTCCCAATCAATGCAACTGCTGGAGGTCCTTTGTGTGTCTTGAAGATTTGGGGCTACTCTATGCTGATGGGAGAGAGCTCTCCTGTCGATATAATCAAACCATCTCCACAAGCAGCAGTAGCTATGCCAACAGGAGAAGCTCTCCCACCTGGAAGAGCCCAAGCTCCAGCTTGCATGGCCTAGTAGCCAGGCCAAGCACCCTTGGTTACCCTCTCCCTGTAGCTCTGGTTGCCACTCCCTCACCAGGGACAACACCGGCAAAGCATTTGAGGGAACTTATGAGAAAACACACCTCAGAGATGGGCTGGATCCAAACCTCAAGCTGTAGAGAAAATGCTGGGGATCCAAAATCCAAGCTGAGCTTCACAGCTCTCGCATCTGGATGTTCTATGAACATGGCCTGGCACTTTGGAAGAGGCCCCAGACTAAAAGGAGAGGAGACATCTGGTTTGTCTTGGGTGAGCATGAAGAACTGATTGGGGCCAGACACGGGAGCCTGGCTGGGGGTGGGGAGGGAGTAGGGGGCCAACAGGCAGGTCTACTGTGGGGAGCTGAAGGTTCTTATCCATCCAGAGTTTCATCTGTAGTGCTTTCAGATTTCAACATCTCCAGCTTTTCCAGTGTGCTCTTTCCAGCATTTGCTGAGAGCTTCTTGATGGCAGTGCCCCTGTGCCAGTTCACTGGGGCACATGCCAGCATCCATATCACACATCTCAATGGAACCACAGGTCAGTGAGATGTCTTCTCCCCATCAATTGTCCCGAGCTCCCCAGCACAGGCAGCCATAGGTTTACACACAGCAAGTGGAGTTTTTGCTGTAGTTTTAGCAGCCAGGATTAGTGGTTAAAGTAAGGAGTCAGGATTTCTGGGTTCTTGCCCAGCATTGGCAGGGGAATTAGTCTAGCAGTGAAAGCAGTGTGGGCAGGGAATCAGAGCTCCTTTGTTCTGTTCCCACCCCTACCACTGAGTCACTGCATAACCTTAGTAATTTTAATTAGAGGGGGTGAAATCTTGAGTTCAAACCCCTTCAGATTTCATAGTTCCAGATTCAGATTCCCAGGTTGGAGCCTACCCCTGTGGTTCTGTTTGGGGTTAAATCCAAACTGGGTGGTGCCTATTTTCTGGTTTTGATGGGGATGAACTCATGAGACTTCTGCCCAAGATGGTGAATGGGGTTTTCAATGGTGGTCTCCCAGCCAAGTACTGCTCAACTGCATCCCTGCTTAGCATATGAGATCTCACAGCCCAAGCAGGCCTGACTGCAGGATACCCCAAAGCAAGGTGAGAGAATGAAGGGTAACCAAAGGTGACTTTGTGATGGGAGTGTCATTGCTCTGAGCCCAGAGGCTGCATATTTGAATCCCACAACGTTTGCAGTAGGCCTGGCTCCAGTGTGATCTTGTGGCTTTTCTGCTGTCTGTCATAGGATTTCCATTTATGGGGAACCCCTGGATCCTTCTCCCTATGAGGGGAAAGACCTTCTGAAAGGGCTGCTGAGGAGCTTTGACAGGGGTGGGGAACCAGGCCCTACACAGATACCCACTAAGCAGCTTTGGTGAGCTCCGGAGGACCAGGAAGCCAGGCCATTCTGAATCTGTGCCAAAAATCTGCACACCAGCTCTACAGGGGTTTGGCCTCCTCCCAGGCCCACAAGGAAATCCCTGGGTTCTAAACGCTCCTTCCCTCCCCACACCAGATATCAGGCACTTCACTGTGCCCCCATGCTGCGGCAGGCATGACCTGGTCAACCTAATGGACAGCAATGGTGGGTTCACATTGACAAGACTGGATGCTTATCAGGTCACAAACCTAGTCCTCACCGGCTCTTTGGCTCTTAGGTAAAAATCCAGGAGGCCAACTGGAGAGGTGTTTGCAGGTGTGGAGTGATCCTGGGTCTCTCAACTGCATTTTCTTCTTCTGCAGCATTTCTTACTCCACCCCCAAAAAGGACCCTTCTAGATCCACAAGCAACATGGTCACCATGGTCACTCTGGAGCGTAAGTGATGCCACTTTGTCTAGCACACTGAAGACTCCTGCCTTTATCTGGGCTGAGTTACTAAGAAAGGAATGGACAGGCAGCTGCCTTGCATCAAAGGGAAGAATGTGGTAATGGATTCTAGCACATCCAGAGCAGAGCCATAGGCCTTCTCCTACTCAGACACAAGGGTCTTCATTTGTACCTGTATATACATGAGCCATGGCACAGCCTCAGACTACATCGCTCCATTGTCTATTCCACAGTTTCACACTCTCCAGAGCTGGAGCTTCAGTAGAAGAGGCGGACCGGTGTTCTGGGTCCATACTGAATAAGGGGGATGGTGGTGGGGAAAGGTCTGCTCTATTTCCCTTGGACTCATGGGTGTCTGATGAATTCTCCTCCTCAGGAGTGGATTACAGGAACACAGCTGTGGACATCTCATGCAGTGGGGTCATGGTGGTGATCACGGTTCTGCTCTCCGCAGGCCTCATTGCTGTGCTGGCAATCACAGGCCGCAAGTGAAGCCAGATGGTGCCCAGAAACCCACAGACAGTCGCTTCCCCTGTGGAGACAGTACCACACTGTCAGTGACATGCAAATTAATACAAAAGGCTGGGCCCTTTTTTATTTTTTGGGTTCTTTCTGATGGAAAGAAAAGGCCTGGACAGTTCCCCCCACATAGTTTTTCCTTCTTCCTTTTACATTAGAAGCTCAGGTCTTGGCTGCCCTGTTTGTCCTGGAGGACTCTGCGAATGACTGCAGATCAAGGAGGATTGTGATACCTCGTCTACACCTTATAATGGTATAACTATTCAGTTAGGGTTTTTAACTAAAATAGTTATACTGGTACAAGCCCCCAGATGGATGAAGTTTCACCAGTATAAAGGTGCCTTACGCTGGTTCCCCCTCCCGTATAAGAGTAAGCTGTAATGGTATAAGCGCATCCCAGCTTGACCCCAGCTGGTGAAACTTGGAAGAAGCCTTGTACAACTTTATCTACACTGATATATTTAAAGCAACACAACTTGTCTGTGTAGACAAGGCCTTAACCCCATGTCAAGGGATTTCAATTTGGGGGGAAGGGATTCGATTCAGACTCATTCAAACTCCAGTTTTTGTTTTTCTTAACACCTGTTTAGACTCAGACACCTGGGAGAAAAAGTGCCTTTGTTAAAGTTTCAGCCCCTAAACCCCTTCGGTGAAAGGCGGAGATAGCTGTCAGGCCAAATCTCTGACTCTTCCAAAGAGATCTCCAGCAAAAACAGGGACTAACTGGCTTGACATTCCTGAGATTCCTAACAATGAAACCAAGCAGAATTAAAAATCAAAACCCTAAAAATTTTCATGCCTACTTTATGAATCTTAAAGAATCAAAACCAAGGGCACAAATCCACTTTTCTTCCCCCTCCCTCCTTGCAGGTCACTTTAATATGGTAACCTCAGTTTAATTCATGGCTTTGCTCCTCCTGAACTTTTCCCGCGCCCTGTCCGAGACGCCAGTTTAATTTGCTTCATGTTATATTTGCTACCAAAGCTACAAGAGTAATCAGTCCATGCACTTCCAGGCATGACATTCTAACCAGCTAGGATGTAAAAAAAATTCCCTCTTCCCAGACATCATTGGATAGCACTGCATGATATCTAGCTTCTCCGTTGTCAGACACATTAAGGGGAATTCTTTCCTCTGAAGCTATTGTCACTGGCCAGGACTCCAGGCCAGATAGGTTTGATCTAGTGTGCCGGCTATAGGCAGTTTAATTCCTAGTTCTAAATGTTATTCATCCTCTGCAACTCCCAAAGTTAACCCTTGTGGTGCCTGAAGCCACAGGATGTATGGGATTTCCCTTGTATCATTCACTTCCTGAAGAACATGTGTTCTGTCCTCATCTTATTGAGCATAACAATGAAATGTAGATGCCATGGGCTGTATCTACTTTCTCCTCACCTTCCCCACATGTTCAAGATCTCCTCTACTTTATTCCTAGCAGATTAAGGGAATCCTCTCACTGCCAGATGCCAGTGTAGCCACAGTGAACTGGCTTGGATTCTGGTGTGCACTTGGTCTCAGAACTCAGAATCCATTTAGTTTCCAAGATCATAGACCTATCATGTGCAGTCAGGGGGGAAAACACTCACAAGGAGATTGGTGATGATGGATGCCCCACCCACTTCTTTCATTTCCCATTCTACAAGGATTCTTGCCACAGTCTCACATTGAGCGTGATAAGTGGGGGAGGTGGTTGTGCTAGAAGCTAAAGTTCCTGTTGGTTCAGGATCCAGGATGGAGTGGATCTTCTGAGTTTACTTCTGGGGGATTTGGAGCTGCCTGTTCCCTCCAGTGCCTTCAAGGCTTGTTATTAATTTACATGCCCTAGTTTATGTTGGTGCCTTTTGTCTTTATGATGCTCAGATCCTAGTGATGGGCTCCCATATAGGAAGCTAAATTGTAATGTTGCATCTCCTGCTCTTATAATGGAGTCCTGGAGGAGCCAGGAGGCCTTTCATTGCTCCTTTCTGGGCATGCATGTGAGTGGACTCTGTTTGTAGATTGGGTTTTCTTGGGGCTTTTCCTCTTCTCCATCTTTTTCTCTGTTTAAATGCTCTCCCCTGGTCATCAATAGATCATTTTTGTATAACCCAAAGACTTCATCCTCTGCAAGGGGCTTCTCTTTCTTTTATCCTGCAAGGTTGACAATATGTCAATAAAATGTGAAGTTTCTCCTTAAAAGAACTCCTCAGTTGGTCTGCTTTGGTTTCTGCCTCATGCTGCAGCATTTTGTTTCAAAAGGTTCCAGTGCTCCCCGGTGGAGAACATGTTGCCTTGACAGACATGACAGGGGTGTTTGACCTATGGACCCTGCTTTAAATGGTATATACCTGTAAAACACATCCCAAACCTACACCACAAAGGAAAGCCTGAACATGAGCTGAGTATCTGTTGTGCTTCACAAAAGTTTAGTTGGAGACTTGCTTTCAATCTGAGACTGTCCCAATATCAGGGCACATTTTTTTTTAAATTGCCCCAAATAATCAATTTAGTCCCATCACTTAGCTGTGGGCTGGCTGTGAACCTCCCTCCAAACTGCAGCTGTAACTAAGGGCACGCCACGGCAGCGCTTTAACGTGGCTTGTGTAGTCGTGGCATAGTGCTGGGAGAGAGGTCTCCCGGTACTATAAACATCAATCGATCTCCTCCACAAGAGGAATAGCTCCCAGCGCTGCTGTCTACACTGGCACTTTACAGCACTGAAACTTGCAGCACTCTGGTGGCTGTTTTTTCGCACCCCTGAGCGAGAAAGTTACAGCACTGTAAAGTGCCAGTGTAGACAAGCCTTGAGTCAGGAAAATTGCTTACACCACCATCAACATGCGTAGTGTGCCTGGAAACTAACTGCATGCTGGACTTTCCCCTGTTGGGTCTTCACCTGTGAGATAAATCTCTCCCTTCCTGATCATCAAGGCCACTGTGGGTGGGGGCAGGATTAAATTAAACCAAGTTGAACATCTGAATTGCATAGTTTACACCACAGATTGGGTGAAGAGCCAGGTATATGTGATACGATTACAAGGAACAAAAGGAGTGAATGAAGCTTCAAGTGTATCCTTCACTTTTTGGTGGCAGTTTGGAAAAGATACACAATAAGCACATCTGGGTCTTCTTTAGCAGGACCTTTTGTGCCGATGTTGTTACTTTCTGGGACTCCCTTGATAACTTGGTTATGCTGATCCCTCCTAACAAATAACATTTCAACATTTCCAATGTAACCACCAAAACCAGTTCCCACCTCTGTCCATTGACCTCTGCTGGCACACAGAACCATCACATCACATGACCAGTTAGGGAGATTTTAAAAAAATATTATCCAAACTCCATGTCAAAGAGGCACTAGAAAGGGTCCCCATGTGCCCAATCAGAGTCTGTGCAATTCTTCACTAATGAAGCTAGACTGTAATTTTACATCTCCTGCTCTTGTAGTGCTGCCCTGGAGGACCAAGAGCAACCCTACAACAGCAAACAGGGTGCAGATGCCAAGAGCAACCTTACAATAAACAGCGTACAAAGACTCCCCTCACTCTGTAGTGACCCCACTCGGTGATGACAGGATCTGAAGGAAATTAGTGTATTAGGCACAGATTCTCAAAAGTTCCAGAATTTCAGTTAGAATTAGGTACCTAAATACTTTTGAGAATCTGAACCTTAATTCTTGGGCAGAGCTTTGAAGATGTAGAGGTATGTATAAATACGAAGCATTATTATTCCTCTCTCACCCTCCTCAATTCCGTACTGGTGCTAGCTCACTGGGGGCCCCTAAGCAGGAATATTTTTGCCCCTACTCACACAACAGATACTCATAATTAACAGGGGGCTCCTTTGAGCTGCTTGGGGCCCTAAGTAATTGCTTAGTCTGCTTATGTCTTGCTCTGCTCATCTAGAAAGAAATTTGTAGCAAAGTGAGGCCAATAGGAGAATCTTCCACACATTGACATGTACCACAGCTCTTGCCTAGCTCAGGCATGGAGCAGAGCAGCAAAGTGAACAGGACAAGAGCCTGCTCAGTTTCATTCTCTAGCTGTGCTCCATCTGCTGGTGGGCTGGCAGCAAAATGAGGTTACAAGTAAGTCTGTTGAGTTTATCTTGGAGCTGTGGAGAGAAGCAGAGGGGGAGCAGAGTAGCAAGTTGTTGCAAGGGAAGGAGCTGGGTTAAGAATAAGAGACTGGGAGGGAAATGGAAAAAGAGAAGAAATTGGGACTGAAGAGAAAAAGAGAATGAAAAAGAACAAGAGGTGGGGGAAAGGAGAGAAGAAATTAAACTGTCCAAAAAGGAGGAGAGGCAGAGCTTCTCTGTGTCTGCTGAGCTGACTCACCTCAAAGTCCCTATATGTCCTCCAAAAAGTATTTGAGCTTCTCAGACCATAAAGGCTACAAACCCAGGGATGATTCTGTATTACAGAAAGGTTGCAAATCTATTCCTTTACTCTTATTCTTCCAGAAATGTTAGGATAAAGCTCTGCTAACCTAACTAAGGAGCTGAACACTTATCAAGAATTTAGGTTAAACGGACAGACAAAAAAGCCCACCAGGTGGTACCTCTTTTATTCTCAAATAGATTGCTTGTTTCATTAATACTAATCATCCAGTCCCTAGAAAGGTCTTTAATGGGTATTTAAAAGTGAATCAAAGGCCACCCTTTAATTCACCTGGTCAAATCTCTCTTATGCTCTTGCTCTCTCTTTTTTTTTTAAAATGTGAGATCAAATCTTTTGGAGCAGAATTGGAGAGTTAAAAGTTAGCAGTGGTTAACTCTCTGTGGCTTGCTCTGTGTTCTCCCTCCAACATTCAGGGTATGCAGCAGTTGTGGGTTATTTTGCAGATTATAAGAAAATGTATTTGAATTTTCAAAACAAAACATTTTGGGAAAACCTGCATCTAAAAAGTGGCCTTGAGGACTGGGATATGGAGGAGGAGCTCAAGCTAACCACCACCACTGATCAGTTTTCTCAAGGTAAGGAGTTCTGAGAGTCTTGGGTTCTGGATGGTTTGGTTATGTGTATGTTCTTGGCTGTGAAACTTCCAGGTGAAAAGAAGACACTCTGATGGCTGGAGATAGAAATCTGATCTAGCCTGGAAATTCATTAAAAATCATATATTGTCTTGCTATCAAAGAATTTAAATGCTGTTAAATTAGAATTTTCTCTTTTATGAACTTCAAAATTATGCAAATTTAGGAGAACCTGGAGATTAAACTGTAAATAACTGACAAGTACTCTGACATCGGGGGGGATCCTAAAGAGAGCTGACGAGACTGGCTCAATGAAATAAAAATCTCCAGAGAGCACTCCAGAAAACATATTGGCATATGATAGAAGTAGCAGCACTGACTGGGCTAGAGGAGATGCCAATGCTGGATACATGTGATTGTTCATGATTCTAGTTCAGCATTGTGAAACTATCACAGAAAATGTTTTGCTAAAAGACATAATCTAGTTTAAACAGGAATAATTTGGGGGAAGTTCAATGGCCTAAGTTATGCAGGTGAGATTAAATGATTACAGTGCCCCCTCTGGCCTTTGACTCTATGAATAGAAAAAGCTGAAACCGAACATCTCTAGTATGTCATGTCTAGTTCATGTCCAGCTCCACCATTGTTGCTATGATTTGCTGCTTTGGCCAGTCTAATTCTGAATCTCTCCAGTGATGTGCCAGTCTCAAAGAATTCTTATGATACTTTAGTACATGGATTGTAGGGCTCTGGACCATGCTAGGGAAATGCTGGGACTGGCATCTCCCTAAAAACCTTATAGTCACAATCTTAGGCTCTAGGCCTGGAAACTGACCCTTAGGCCCACATGGGTCCCCATTCTGCAGGAGTCCAACTGCAGGATGAGGGTTTTGATGGGTGTAGCCAAGTGGGTCTCAACCAGGGGTACCTCTGGGAATATGCAGAGGTCTTCCAGGGGGTACATCAACTCATTTAGCTATTTCCCTAGTTTTACAACAGGCTATAGGGTTGCCAAACTTTCTAATTGCACAAAACTGAATACCCTTGCCCCAACCCTTCTCCAAGACCCCACCCCGCTCACTCCATTCCCCTTCTGCTCTGTCACTCGCTCACTCTCCCCCACCCTCACTTACTCATTTTCACTGGGCTGGGGAGGGTCCCTTTTTGACCAGGTGTTTTGGTTTAAACACTAGTGAAGTCAGTACAAACTAAAATTTCATATGGACAATAACTTGTTTATACTGCTCTATATACTATACCCTGAAATTAAGTACAATGTTCATATTCCAATTGATTTACAATCATGTGGTAAAAATGAGAAAGTAAGCAATTGTTCAGTAACAGTGTACTGTGACGCTTTTCTATTCTTGTGTCTGATTTTGTAAGCAAGTCATTCTTAAGTAAGGTGAAACCTGGGGGGTACGCAAGGCAAATCAAACTTCTGAAAGGGGTACAGTAGTCTGGAAAGGTTGAGAGCAACTGGTGTAGCCCAATCTAGGTGACCCATCATGCTGCAGAAAAGGGCCTTTTTTCCCCAACCCAAATTAGACTAAGGATGCGTCTCAATGCCTTGATGCTCAGAAGAGAAAGGGGGTGGAGAAGAGGAGGGAGATGGGTGTCAGTGCTGTCAATTCACCACATTGTCTCTGATCTTCCATTTCCCACCAGCTGCAGATGAAAAACAGAACCATCACATGCTGAAGTGGCAGTGTGAGCGACAGGTGCGCAGGAACTCACTCCCCAGGGAACCATCCGACACCCTCCCATCCATACGGCCTGGTGAGCCATGAGCAGGGTATTGTCCTGGGGCAAAGGGATGCCATTAGCAGATGCGTATGTAAAGGAGCATTCATTTGTCCTGTTACAGAGGGATGGACAGCAACAGAGTGCACATCTGGGTCTGATCTTCTCCAAGGGTCAGAGGTGTTTAGGTCAGCACTAAGGGGAGTATTATGTACTCCTTCCTCCATTGGATGCTGCCAGACCAGTAGCTCAGGGTGATTCCTGGGTAGTGAGAGTGCAGGCAACTCTGGTGCTGCTCGCAGGGGAAGGGAGGTTAAAACTCCCAGGGTGAGCAAGGGACACGGCCTGGTGGTGTGAGGGGCCACAGGACAGGAGGGAAAAAAAATCCATTTCTTGTGACATATGGAGATAAATGCTATGCAGGGGTGGTGGGTGGTAAAACACCATGGAGTCTTAGGGTTATGAGAGCCCTGAGATTTTGGATCTACATCCTATTTAGCCTTAGCACAGTCCTGTTCCCAGGAGGCAGGAGTCCTGTCTGTTGCAGAGGCCCTCAGATGGCGTCACTAGAGTGATTTGGCTTCTTCTCTCTCAGCAGAATCTTATGTGCAGCCTCATTTGTGGATGTGGATGAACCCCAATCTGGTTTGCCCCATTGCCAGCTGTCCCAGTGTGGACATGCCAGGACCCAGTAGCCCAGCATTCTCAGCAGCTGCTGCTCCAGGGTTTTCTCCTCCAAACCCTTCCTTGAATTGCTCCAACCTTGACTGTTCTGAGGAGGATCTGCTGTCGTCATCCAGTGAGGCAGAGAAGGTATGTGACAGAGGGGAAGCTGTGTGGACAGTGCTAGGCATTACATGCTTTGAGTTGCTTGGTCTCTGTGACTGATGCATCCCAAGATAGGACTAAGCTTGCTCATGCCCTGTTTTATGAGCAGCAGAAGTGAATGCATAGATTCAGCCCAAATTATGGCTGGCAGAAGGTACAAGATGCTGGATTGGAAACTGGAGTCCTTCCTATCCACAGAACAGGAATAGCCCAGGTAGCAGCATATACCGCAGGCATGTCATGTGGGGAGGAGCTCATTTACCATTACCCACTCAGTACATGACCCTTCTGCTGAAACAGATAGAAATGGATCAGTTGGTACCCATTTGTGAAGGGTACACATCACCACTGGGAACTGGACTAAGGCCCAAACTCATTACATGCAGGCCACTGATGTGCAACTTCCCACACATCATGTCTACTCACTGACTCCATGCAGGCCTAACCCATCTCTTCCACCCCTCTTTTTCTCCCTAGTTCACTGAGGATGAAGATGTCTCATCGGTGGACATCTCACTCTCTCAGAAAATGGAGACTCCCAAATCTAAGGCTGCTCTGGCACCCTGGAAACCAAAGGTCCCCAGATCTCAGAGCAAGAAGCTCAAGTACATCCTGCAGGCGAGCACCAAACTCAAAGGGGGCTGGCCCCGGCCCCCCCTTAATTACTGCATCCTCATCACCCTGGCCCTGCGTAACAGTGCAGAAGGCAGCCTGACTGTGCAGCAAATCTACCAATTCACACGGTACCCACAGCCCTCCTAACTCCCCCCATGCTGGGATAGGGGGAGTTTAAAGGGGGCATGGGTACAAAATTGTCCTAGCTTTTGCTAGGGAGGAAGTATGGCTAGGGCAGGTGACTGGAAGTCAGGACTCCTGGGTTCTATGGTTCTATTCTCAGCTCTACTACTGACTCACCATGAGACATTAGGCAAGTCACTTCCTTTCTGTTCCCATTAGAGACTACATGGATTTTTATTTAAATGCCCAAGTTCAGGAGTATTCAGACTTAGAGTTTTAGTTCTGGCCTGTTGCTATTTAACAGTACTCTGTTCAATTGGTCCAGCCAAACCTAATGTTTGAGGGTGTAACCTAATGGTACAGGGGCTTGGGAGGAATCTCTCATCCTCTTATATCCACATATGTTCCACAAATGATCAGGTGCACTCTGGTTGTGGCAAGAAACATTGACCTCGTGACTAGCATAGCCAATCCTGTGCTCTGGGCTTGCCCGGCTTGTAAACCCAGCTCTGTGCCCTTCTTCTCTCTCTCTCTCTCTCTCTCTCTCTGCAGGCAGCACTTTCCCTTTTTCCAGACAGCCCCAGATGGCTGGAAAAACACCATTCGTCACAATCTGTGCTTCAGTAGCAGCTTTGAAAAAACCACCCACTTTGTGTGCAACGAGGGCAACCGCAAGTCCCGCCTGTGGAAGCTGACACCAGAAGGCTGCAGAAAGTTCCAGGAAGAGGTATGGGCTCTATCTGAGGAGGCCCTCAACTTAGTGAGCCAGAGCTTGAGCAAACCAGGTACATACCAAGAGGCAGTAGCCCCCACTGAGGCTTTGGAGTCCAGGACGAGTGGTGCTGGAAAGCAGGCTCTCCCAAGATTTTATTGTGAGGTTACACTAGAAGAGAGCTGTAGAGGGAGTATATGCAGTGATGAGCTGCCAAAATCTTAACGGGTTCCCTCCTCACCCCACGAGGGGGTCGTTGCCCCCCCCCCCCGGGACTCCTGCCCCATCCAACTCCCCCGCGTTCCTTGACGCCCCCCCAGGACCCCTGCCCCATCCACCCCCTCCCCTGTCCCCTGACTGCCCCCAGAACCGGGCAGGAGGGTCTCGTGGGCCACCGTAGTGGGTGCCCACCGTGCCCTGCCCCTAAGAGCCAGAGGCACCTGCCAGGGGGCGAGGTGGGGAGTCCCGGTGGTGCTTACCTGGGGCAGCTCCCAGGAAGCATCCGGCAGGTCCCTCTGGCTCCTAGGGGCAGGGGAGCGTAGCTGGTGGGGAGCAGAGGGAGCAGCTGCTCCCCCACTGATCACATCAAAAGTGGTGCCTCAGGCGCCGACTCCCTGGGTATTCTGGGGCTGCAGCACCCACGGGGAAAATTGGTGGGTGCAGAGCACCCACCGGCAGCTCCCTGTCCGGGCCCAGATCACCTCCGCTCCGCCTCCTCCCCTGAATGCACAGCCCCGCTCTGCTTCTCTGCGCCCCCCCCTTCCCGCAAATCAGCTGTTTGGCGGGAAGCCGGGGAGGGCTGAGAAGCAGGCCGCAGCTTCCTGCTCAGCCAGAGGGTGGCGGAGGTGAGCTGGGGTGGGGAGCAGTTCCCCTGCACGCTCCCTCCCCCCCCCCCCGCTGGGTTACCTGCTGCGGCACGGGCAGCCCTCCTTGCGCCCCTCCCCCCACCGCTCAAGCTCACCTCAGCCTCCCTGGGCCTGAGCGGGAAGCTGCCGCTTGCTTCTCAGCCTGCCCCGGCTTCCCGTGCAAACAGCTGATTCACGGGAAGCCTGGGTGGGGGGGCGGAGAAGCAGAGTGGGGTGGCACGTTCAGGGGAGGAGGCGGAGCAGAGGTGAGCTGGGGCTGGTGAGTGGGGCGGGGAGCTGCCGGTGGGTGCTCTGTACCCACCAAATTTTCCCCTTGGGTGCTCCAACCCTGGAGCACCCGTGGAGTTGGTGCCTAAGGTGCCACTTTGGGCCGGTTAAATTTAGAAGCCCTTTTAGAGCCGGTTGTCCCTCATGGAACAACCGGTTCTATAAGGGCTTCTAAATTTAACAACCGGTTCTAGCGAACCGTTGTGAACCGGCTCCAGCTCACCCCTGAGTATATGTGTGGACAGACCAGGGGAAGGAGAAAATACAGAGGGCTAGACTGGATGACTGAAGATGATGGATCTTCTAGGGTGGAGCCCTTACAAGTATGGGTGGCTCTGTGCCTCATTTAGCTGTAACCTAGGCCAGAGGAGAAGAGGGGTAAGATTTTTCCCTTTTGAATTATAGAAATGCTCCTGGTCACTCCTCTCTGAAAATTATTCCTCTCTCTCTCCCCGCCCTTGAAACTTCGTTCATGGAAAGATTAGTAAGCTCATAGCTGAGTTATTTCCAGCACTGAATGAGGTACTTCACAAGCTGCTGAGGGTGTTACTGGTTGCTGAGGATGATGGAGTGGGGTTGCACTTTGGAGACCAGGACTGCAGGTGCCTAGGCCAGTGAAAGGAATCCCTGCAGAACAGTGCCAGGGACCATTCCCATGCCTTAGACTAAGAGACCCAGATGGTATTAAGTGGTGCTATCCTTATAGCTCTGGCCAGCCAATTTTAATGTGGATGCCTAAGATCTACACATGGCTGTGGGGGGACAAGCTTAGGAGCCTAGAGGCACATTTGAAAAAAAGATAAGTACTTGAGAGATTCAACTATGAGCAGGGTTATTCTCCTGGCTGCTTAAGAAATCTATCCTCTACCTGATACTAAATAACACACTTGGCCAATGAAAATCAGAATGGAAGTATTAAATTGTTGGGACAAGCTCTCATTGGTGGCTGAGTGATCCTGAGATCAGGACACAGATAGCAATGGTGGTGGAATGCTGCTTAACCCTCTTATGCTGCAGAGCCAGAACCTGGTTCATGGCCCAGGCTCAGCCATCAAACCACCTTCTTTCTCTCTTGTTGCAGAACAGATGCAATCTTTGTTCAGTCTCTGATCCCTGCTGCCCCCGAGATAAGGACCATGTGGTTCCCAAGCAGCTTATTTCCTCCTGAGTTACTACAGTCAGCTTCCAAGCAATCTCAGAAGGGAGCCCTAGATGTGAATGGAAACTCTAGGAACTCAGACCTCTAATCAGAAAGAGCTGGGTCAGACCTGCTGCCTCCCCCCCCCCCCCACAATGGCTTGGTCTGGGCAGGCTTTGTCTCTCAAATACTTTAAGAGGGAGCCTCAGCTAAAGGATTTTCACTAGAGAGTATGGGGTAGTAGGAAAATCTGGTCCTCTTGACTTCTATGTTTTCCCCCTTTCAGCAGTTTGAGTGGCTATCCTGTCCATGATCCACTCGCTGCCGCTGGTCAGAGTTGGTTATGTTTGAGGGAAGATTACAGGAAGCTTTAGCATAATCTTGGGAATCTCAGGGCTTTTACTCTAACAGCAATTTCTCAGCTGCTTCTGTGCAAAATGTTCTTTCCCCTGTACAAGAAGACTGGGGTAAAGTCTATCTTTTAAATTCCTTATTCTCATTCTGCACTTAATGTTGTGTAAAGTATGCTAAAGGTAAAAAGCACTAAGGGCAGTTGAACTATTAAAAAAATCCCAAACACCATGAAACATGAAGCAGACAGTAAGAGCTAGAGCAGAGTTCAGACATTCCACTGCAGCCACTTAAAGATCCCAAAGACATTGTCATTTTATTTTGCTGAAGTTCCAGCTGACTAGCCCCAGAGTCTTTTTTTTTTTTTTAAATATGCACACAAAACAAGACCACACCAAAACTTCTTTTCAATCCTAGTGCTAGGAGACACAAAAATGACCCTAAATGGGGTGGGAGGAGATAAGGTGAAAACTGTGTTATTGTTCTCCTGCCTCTTGACAAGAGAGGCTGAATTCTGTTATTTAAACATAGATCGTATCTCAGACAGGGAACCAATGATGTGACATGAGCAAAAAAGCTGTAGCAATTGAGGGGAAAGGGAGCTTACTTGTTTAGTTATGTAATACTAAAGCCTACTGAATGCTGGGGAGAAATGAGGTCTTTGTTAAAGTCTCTCCCCCAATCCACAAGATGATTGCTCTAACACAGATTGCCTGCCACACACCTTTACTTTAATCAGGGAGCCAGAATGGAACCAGACATTCCATTCCTGGTATTTCTAAAGCTAAAAAAACCAAACACACACTCAGGCCTTCATTATAAAGCAGTAAAAACATTTGTTTTTTTAAACTAAACCCCTCTGGCAGCTCTGATTCTTTACATTGTCAATACAGCAGCTTTTGTCTTATTTAACATCACAACTGCTGCTTCCTCTAACACAGGCAGAATGGATCATAAAACCCTAGCCCTCTGCAATATATCCAGTCTACATACTGGCACTGCCTAGAAACAGTTGGTGCTAAATGCCTGCATTAAAGGCAGAAACCAAACAAGATGACAAGACTGGCTTAGTTTGATCTCAGTTGTTAAAGTAACACAGCAAGAACCATTTTTTTAATCAGACAGCAGCCACTTAAACTAGAGAAAACTGGTCACTTATTTGACTATTTCATTTATAAGGTATTTTAATAAATTGTTCAGAGTCCAACAGGTGTCTAGGTTGTTTACCTGTAATACCTACTAATAGGGTTAGGCTAACATCAGATGCTATCTGTAACATGCTAAAATTTGGAGTCAGTGAGTTGTAAATGGAACCTTAAAGTGTGATTTAATCTATATATAAAAAATTTGGTGCGAGAGGTAGGGAGGGGTACTGCACAGAGCCTGTTTTTTAGAGAGGTTTAAGGCATCAGGAGCAAGGCCTCCCATGCAACTAAGACACTTGCACTTCCTAGTGCCCCACAGATGAATTCCCTTTCCAACAGAAGCAGTTCTATGGTAGGCTTAATCCTCTTCTTGTATAATCTGACAATGATTTCTGTTCTCCCACTGCCACCACTCATCTTTTAGGAGTCTAGTGAGCACTTAACTGCCAGTCCCTAGAGAGGATCATGCTTTCAGTCCCCAGTGAGCACGTGACAGCAAAGGTGAACTGTTGTTAGTCTAGGATAGGCCCCTCTTATTCCCTACTGTAGTCTTGCAAGCAAGAAGTTTACTGGTACAGCTGAAACTGGCTGTTACATAAACAAGTGACTGTTTCAACAGTCAGGCAGACCTCACAAAAAGAGAGGAACATGAGCAAATCACACCCATACCACAAGGGAGAGTGCTCAAGCTGATTTTTCAGTTGACTGAGCCATAAGAATGAGCTTGACCAATGCTCTAGTACAGCAGGACCTTGAAAGCCCATTCAAAAGTAATGTTTTGCCTCTTAAATCTGCACAAGAGTTGCGGGCAAACTTAGCAAGCAGTCTCTACAGGAGGGGTGGTTTCTACCCCAGTCAGATGCAGCGGGAGCTGTTGCACATATTCCTGATTAAGAGTAGTCAGCAAAGATCCATGCAAGAGGAAGAGCAGAAGTCAGAGGGGAGGATTTGTTGAAAAGCTCTTCCCTTCCTTTAGCACCCTTCTCTCACAAAAATGCTTGCTTAGCAGAAAGTGGCTAATGTTACTCTGAGTGCCAGTAGGTAGAGGTTGATCCTCTTTCCACTAGGAAAAATTTAGAATTTACTATAAAATAAACCAATATACCATCTATTCCTATATCCTAACTCCCCTATTCTGATCATGCAGCTGGTAGCTGTACAATGCTTTACCTGGGGTGGGGATTTCATGTCCTTGGCAGTGACCATTTTTGCTGATGCTAGAGGTTTGATTTGTTTAGCTATTCATGAAACTGCAGGCCTAAATTGGATCTAGTGCCTGACAACCTCACAAGCAACTACCCTTCAAGAGGGAGAGCAAGGACCTGTTGGCTAAGCACGGACTAAATATCTGGACACTTGGGTTCTATTTCTAGCTCTGCCACAGACATAATACATGATGTCAGACAAGTTACTTTTACTCCAGCTTACAGATAAGGCACAGAGGTGACTCTGTTCTTATGCCAGAGGTGGAAGACTTGACATTTGTAACAAAAGCACTTTGAGTTTGGTTGGAAGGAGCCAGAGCGGGATACAAGAACAGAGGCTACAGAAAGGATCGCTTAAAGAATTAGAAATACAGCATTAAAAGGAAACTGAAGTTTTAATAGATGCCTGGCAAGCTCATTGCTGATACAGACTTAAGCTTTAGTCTAAAGTGACTTTAAAAAAAAAAGTAGCTTTATTTGATCCCTAACAAGGGGATCCCTACTTGTAGTGCCAGCCAGCACAGTGGCAGCTTTCCTCCCTAAGAGAGGACAGGTAGAAGGACTACCTGGGGCTTGTCTACATCAGTTTTGGCACCAATTTAACTAGATCACGTTGCAGGGAAAAAAGAAACAGGTTAGATCAGTTCAACACCCTAGTGTGGACAGCACAATTTAGAAGTTTTACTACTGCAAGCTAGGTCAAAATGAATAGGGTATTGAACCCTTTTAACTAAATTGGCACAGATTTAACAAAACTATTCAGACCTGCCCTCAAACACAGTCTGAAACAGGTGTCAAGCACCACCCACACCCATTGAAGTCAGCAGGAGCCCAGAATTTCTGTGGAAACGGGGGCATAATATGGCTGCACTCAAGTGGCATTTGACTTGTTCTCCATATGAGAGTGAGAAGAAGGTTGGGTTGCTTTCCACACAAAGCCCATCTTCAGTAGCCTCTTGCTGGCAAAGGTCATTTTGAAGTCAGCATCATTTAGCCAAAAGAAGAGATGAAGGGCAGGTGTCAAGTCATCCAGGTCACTGGGGCTGTGGGAGTCACAGGTCATATCAATCTCAGTGCTGCAAAAGTAAGAGGAAGAGTGGGTAGTTTTGTGGTGAGACTGAACCCAAGAAGATCAGGTTTTATTGTCCATCATAGCCAGAATGGAAGTATCAAGAATATAAAGACACCAAGCTGGTTAGTTTCCCTGTAAGGTGGGGCACACTAGAGCTGCAACTCTAGCATCTGCACTTATGTTAGCAAATGGAAAGTTTTAATGGGATATGGGGGTGGGGGCGCAAGAGGAGAAGAGGCCAGTGAAGACAAGGCAAGTTTCCAATGCAGCCCTTTGGCCAAGAATCTAATGGCTGTACCCTGGCTGCAAGTTGAAGGATAAGATAACAAAAATAAATGCTCTGACTGTACGTTGCTGATGCTTTGTTCTGACTGACAGCTGGACACTGCTTGTTGGCTGGCAGGAGCTCACCAACCATAGACACCTGCAGTTGATCAGTGATGTCACCCTGCAGCTACAGTACAGGGAGAGATATTGGCTGCTTGTGTCCCTTGAACTACTAACAGAAGGTTCCTCACATGTCCCTCCCCTTCCCTCAGTTTCCACATGATCATTTAAATTTGAGATTCCTCAGTAATGAAATGGTGGAGGTCAAAAACATGTACACCTTCCAAGCTTGGGATAAAGTATCAGAATCTGAGTCTACCAGTCATTTACCCTCTCCCTTCTGAAAGCTGCAGGAAGTGCAGAGCCCTCCCTGATTTCTTGCCCACACTTCACCATCCATCCAACTCTGGGCCCTATAAGGTCAGTAAGTGCCTTTCAAATATCATGAGAAAGATGTAACCAAAACCTGTTTCAGGAGATAAGATTGCTATGGGGATCAGGAAAGAATTTCCTCTCTAGACCTCTTCCCCTCCAAAAAGGGTACTTGCACTGCTAGCTAGTTTTGTTAGAGCAGGGGGCTGTCAGACTCAAACTAAACCCAAAGGATGAGTTCACTATAGCAAGCCCTAGGTCTATGAGATAGGAGACCAGTGAGTTAGGAGCTTTGTACAGTTCTTGGCATACTCCTTCAATTCCCAGGTAGAGGGCTGGCTGGGGCTTTGATCACAATGACTAGTGCCTGAGTTCCATTTGCACCTTTATCTATTGATACACCCGCACCACAGAAGAGAGCACCTATCTTCTGTTCTCAGCACTCTGACAAGTTTCAGAAATAGTTACAAGTAGAAGAGATCTCCTCCTCACTCAATAACTCTGTGATTCTCTGCAGCTGCACCTACAGTGACACAAATAAGTTAAGACAGCCTGCTGCAACACTGGAATAAGACTGACCTTTAAGAGCAGGAGAGTCTTACTGCAGGAGCTTGGTCTCCTATTGTTTGCTCCCTCTCAATTGCACAGATGCACTACCACTAGCTCCTCTGATGCTGCTGCTAGTGAGAAGATCAGGAGCCAGCAGCCTCCAAAATAACAGTAGACCACACAGTTCTGGAAGTTCAGTGCACATGAAGCCCATGTAACATACCTTTGCTTTGCTGGAGCACAGTAGCATCTCCTCCTTGGGACAGAGTTGCTTGGAGTCAATTAAGACTGGTTTCTGATAGGAGTCCTCAAGTGCTGCAGCTTCCAGGGACATGGTTTTTTCCGGTGTGTGTGTGCAAATCTGCATGGTGTCAGCTACTGGGGGCACTGTCTTTACTGAAGCATGTTTTCTATTGGAAGCCTTGTGTGCAGCAGCTACTGGAGGTACTGGTTTTACTGGAGTAGAAGCCTTGGGTGCAACAGTTGCCAATAATACAGGGAACACTAGTTTTCTGGGAACTTTCTTGACTGTGGAAGCCTGCAGGATCACAGCAGCAGCCAATGGGGGCTTGGAAACAGAGGCAACAGGAGAAGTCTCCAGGGCAGTGACGAGGGTCACTGCCTTTACTGAACTATATTTTCTAGCGGAGACCTTGGGTGCAGCAGTTACTGGGGACACTGAAACACATTGTCCAGAGGAAGTCTGTAGGGCAGCAGCTACTTGGGGCCTTGGTTTTACTGAAGTAGGTTTTCTAACAGCCGCCTTGGGTGCAGGAGCTACTGAATGCACTGGTTTTCCTGGGATTCCCTTATTGGGGTATCCTGTTATGGAGCAAACCAGGTTGGGGTTCACCCACATCCACAAGTGTGGCTGCACATCAGATTCTGTGGAAACAAAGATGACTGATCACTCCAGCGAAGCTGTGCTTTTGTTGAAGTTAGTTGTGTGGGGTTCCCCCCTCCTCCCCTTTGTAAGCTGCTTAGCTCCTTTGGACCGCTCATTAGGCAACAGTATCTCCAAATCCAAAACTACAGTCCTATCACGAACTAGAGGAGACTCCCTGTGAGCTAGAGTACTGGGACTTTGACTCAACAGGGTGTCGCCACCAGAAGGCAACTGTCACACACTTAATCAAATCTGACATTCCCCGTGCACTAGGAAGCATGGTGTACATATGCACTAGCTCTGTGATACTCAGATTTCAGTGGTTCAGGACCCAAATGAGCAATCAGCATAACCGAAAAGAGCCACAGTAGTGTGAATTCATTGTTTTATTTACTATTTTTAATTATAGTAGATTTTCTCACAGCAAAATGACCAAGAATTCTATAACTGGTTAACAGTAAAAGCATCGTGATTGGTTAATAATTAAATCAGTGTTTTAAGATCACGTGCTGCAAAGAGCTCCAAGAGACACATTAAAGAGACACTTGCAGCTCCCAAGCCTCAGTCTGAGCATCAGTGCACTAGCTAGTGCATGACTCCACAGTATCCTTCTACCCTGCCCACCCTCATTAACATTGCCAACCCAACCACATGAGCCATGTTGTGTAGGAAACCCTGCCAATATTCCTACTCTACACAACCCATAGTCATCACTTGCCATCTTGCTCCTTGGCTAGAGGGGGCTGGACTGCTTCTCTTGTGACAGAGTTGCTCCAACGATGCTTGTACGGCTCATGTAGAAAGTATTCGCCGAGATCCTTTTCCGTACCTGGTCCACAGGCAAAGACAAAAAAACAAACCAAAAAAAGCCCCTAAAATTAAGAACATATCACACCTATCAATCAAACTTGCACCTGCCTGATACCTTAGCCTCACTAGCTCTGCTGAAGCACCACCTGGAGTCAGCCTACCAATTCTGACAGAGAATTCTAGGTTGCCACTGGTTAGACCAGGCGTGGACAACCTGAGCCTGAAAAGGAGCCAGATTTTAACAATGTACATTGCCAAAGAGCCACAGTAATAGGTCAGCAGCACCCTCATCAGCACCCCCCGCCCCCACTCCCAGCACCTCCAGCCCACCGGCAGCCCCACTGATCAGCGCCTCCCCCTCCCTCCCGATGGCATGCGGGGCAGGGGGTGGTGGTGGTGGTGCAGGAGAGTGGGTACTGCAGGCTCAGGGGAGAGGGAGAGGGAGGGGGAGGGAAGGGCCTGTGGCAGAGCCAGGGGTTGAGCAGGGAGCACCCCCGGCACATTGGAAGGTTGGTGCCCGTAGCTCCAGCTCAGGGGTCGGTGCCTAAACAAGGAGCCACATATAAACTTCTGAAGAGCCGCACGTGGCTCTGGAGCCACAAGTTGGCCACTCCTGGGTTAGACAGGAGGGAGCTAACCAAGCTTAGATACTGAAAAGCCTTTTACCTCACAAGACAAAGTCATATTAAGATAGGCCATCAGATTAGCAGGTATTTTTTCAGGGGGTGCATGTGAGCAAAATGGAAAAGAAGCTTATGAAAAATGCTTACACCAGACTTTTGGGCAACAGCTCCACTATTAGGAGCAATGGTGGAAACACCTGTTTAGACACATGCTGGAATAAAATGTTTAAAATCCAAAAAAACAAACCACCCATACATCCGCCCAAATAAACCAAAACAAAACAAAACCCCACACCAGTGTCTTGTTGTCTAATCCTGCTGCAAGGAGGCCTATACAATACATGGTGGTAAAGTGCCAGCAGCTGCTTATGCCATATCTACGCTAATGCTCCTACAAAAGGAGCTATATCCATAGCAGTGCAACTGGTAGAGATTCCCAAAGTCTAGTGAAGTTAAGCTGTGTTCTAAAGGTCATTGTTACAGTGATAGATAACAGACTAGACTTCAGCTGTGTGTGTCCGTTTTACGGAGGAGCAGGAGCTACTCCATAGTTAAGGCTGCAGTAGAGTTTCTGTTCAGAGAAGATTAATTCTAGAAAAAGGATTTTGTAGCTTACTGCTTATGTTATTTTAATCATAAAAATTCTGTACAATCATTAGATGTCTTTCATATGGGTTGTGAAAATTAAATATCATCTCTGCTTCACAGTGGGGAAACAGAGGCACATGACAGTTGAAATGATCTGCCCAAGGCGATACAGCAAATCACTGAGTGTTGAGAAAGGACTGGAAAGTCCTGGCTCCTGTGGTAATAATATTTAGTCCTGAGGTTTTCTCCTCTGTCTGTAGGAACTTCAGTTAGCTAACAGATTTAGAAGATTGTTGTCCTGTTAAGTATTTTCTTTTCTTATTCATCCAAGTTCAAGGAATAAAATTTGTTGCTACCTGGAAGCATGTAAAGTTATATTTCCTCTACAGGCTGTATGTTGCTTGGTTACCCATATCTCTGTACAAATGGGATAATAAAGATAGGGTAACCAGTCTCCTTATTGATTTTCCTGCACAAGTTGCATAGGAAGGTTTATAGTTATTTATAGATAAATATGAAGAGAGTCATGAGACAACATAAGAGATTTTACAAAATGCTAATAAAAAAACCTAAGCTATAGTATTAATGATCTTCCTTAAAATAAGTTAACTTAATTACAATTAACATTAAATTCATTCAAATAACTTTATTTCTAGCAACTTTTTTTTTTTAATTAAACTTTTGTAGATTACTCCAGGCAAGTGAAGAAAACAAACTGCATCCATGATCCCCAATAATTCACAGATGCTCAGCATCTCATATGACAGGTTCTAATGAGGAAGTCCAGAACTACTCTTGATTCATGTAACAGCTATATTTACTGGCTTGAATAGTCCCTGAAGTAACAATAGCTAGTTATCTTATTCTTTGAGTATAAGAAACATCATATAAAAAAATGCAAACTATATTTACATAAATGAGATGCTGAGCATTTGTTTCCTACCTTCATCAACTTGATCAGTGGTAGTAGCCAGTTCAAGTTCCTGAGCCATATTCCAATTCTCAAGGCCACTTTTTAAATGAAGGTTTTCCCAAGCCTTTTTGTTTTTGAAGTTTAAATACATTTTTCATCAAGGGAACAAATAAAATCAACAGCTTTTAAAAAATAAAGAGCACATGACTACAGACAAAGGAAAGCTGTTATCCTGAATTCTCTCCATCGATCATCATCATTTTGATCCTTTTTATATGGGAAAGTAGCTAGTAAGGCAGCGATTGACTCCCCTCTCATTGGCACCTTTAAATACCAATTAGCAGGCTTGTTAAAGTTACTTTGAAAAATGACTGCTTACAGCAGGGATTCCCATTTTTTCCAAGGCTGAGAACCCCTCAGATTAGACATGTTCCCTTTTTTGCTGATCTAGAAATTATAAAGATATGTGAAAGGAATTAATAGAGAAAGATAGCATTGTATTGTTGACTATAGTGTCTCACCCAGAGATTTCAAAGAGTTACAGAAGTATCAAAGGTTTCAGAGGAACAGCCGTGTTAGTCTGTATTCGCAAAAAGAAAAGGAGGACTTGTGGCACCTTAGAGACTAACCAATTTATTTGAGCATGAGCTTTCGTGAGCTACAGCTCACTTCATCAGAAGTATCAAATTAATTAAGCCTCCACATTTATTAATATATGTAAACCTCTACTTGGCAGATGTAAGTAACTATGTAGCAAATATACAAGCTCTCTAGCCCAGATCCTCAAAGGTATTTAGGTGCCTAATTTCCAGAAATTAGGCCTTTGAGAATCGGGTCCAGGAAACTACTTACCTACGTCACAGACTGGTTGTGAGACTTGTCTACATATAAGCCACTACAACTGCACCGCCTCAGTGAAGATGCTGCCTATGTGGGTAGGAGGGGTTCTCCTGTTGGTGAAGATAAACCATCTCCCTGAGAAGCAGTAGCTTGGTTGACAGAACTCCCCCCATCAACTTTGTGCTATCTACACTGGGGGGCTAGGTTGCTATAACTGCATTGCTCAGGTGTGTGGATTTTTCACAGCGCTGAGCAACCTATTATACCAGCCTAATTTCCTAGTGTAGACCAGGCCTTAGGTCCCAAGCCTGCAAGTACTTAAGTATGTAAGTAACTTTACACAGATGAGTAGTCACTCTCCATAAATTAACTGAGACTACTCACATGTAAATTTACTCAACTACTTCAGTGTGTGCAGGATCAAGACCTTATTTATTTATTTATTTATTTATTTAAATCAATAACATTATTTTATACAAAGCAGCACCCATAGAGAATATTACAATATACTTTGCAGCCACATGTGAAAATTGTGGCTGTTCTATGTGTTGTATTTTGGAGAGAAAAAGCTAAACATCAGCACTGATCAAAATGCTACTGAACATGGAGAAATTCCTTTTAAGACAGTTAAAGATAAAGGTTAAAAATGTCAATAATGCCTAGGGCCCAGCCCTCAAAGGTATTTAGATGCCTAACTTCCATCAAATTCAATGGGAGTTATGTGCCTAACTATCTCAGAGGATCTGGATCTCAATGACTAAGGCAAGGGCCTATTTACACCTAAAACTTACGTCAAGTTAGCTATGTTGCTCAGGACTGTAAAAAATTTTGCACCCTGACAACCACAGGTCAACCTAACTCCTGGTACAGAGGCTAGCTACTGCCTCTTGGAGAAGTGGATTACCTACAGTGACAGAAGAATCCCTTCTGTTGATGTAGAAAGCACCTACGCCTTAGCAGCACAACTGCAGCCACATAACTGTGCTGCTGTTGCGGCTGTAGAGTGGACATACTCCAATTCTACATGACAGGTTAAGCCAGCATAGCTACATTGCTCAGGGGTGTGAAGAGATGTGATTAGACATGGGTAACATCTTTTGGCCAAAACGTTTTTCCGCAAAGAATGCAGATTCAGGAAGATCAAAACATTTTGCAAATTTGTGTTGATTTTGGCTAATTGTTTTGGTAAAAAAAAAAAAAAGATTCTTCCTCTCCCCCCATGTCAAAATGGTTCATCTTGACATTTTCACAATGAAATATTGGTTTTTTGCACTAGATTCACAAGGGGACTTGGACACCTAACTCCAACATTTAGGTGACAGTCACAAAACTATTATAGTGGCCCGCATACACATTAGCCCAGTGATCAGGGCATTCAACTAGTGATGCAGGATATCTCTCTTTGAATCAGTGTGCTGGAGCAGAGACTTGAACCGAGGTCTCCCCCCTCTCAGGGAAAGGGAGGTGACCTAGTCCCCAAGAGCTATTCTAGGGCAGAGGTTCTCTCAATCTCCCTTACTGAACCCATTCCACCTTGTATAAATAATTAAATATTCACTGAAGCAGGGACTGGAACCAGTGTCCCTCAATCATACCCTGTGAGTGCCCTTGCCAGGAGGCTAGAGTCATTCTCCTGCCTTTTCTCTCTCTGGCTCAATGAATATTTAATACAAAGTGGAACAGCTTCAACAGGAGAAAATTAGAGGTCCCCCTTCCCCAGTACTCAAAAGCCTTGTGGTTAGGACGCTCACCTGGAATGGGAAAAGACCTAGGTTTAAGTCCTTGCTCAGCCCAGAGAATCAAACTTGGGTCTCTCCTATCCAGGTGAGTAGCTTACCCATTGGATATAAATAGTACACCACCACCATTACCTTTTCTTCTGGGGTTTTGTGAATGGAAGTCCACTTGTGAATCTAGCCCTTTGTTCCAAATGTAATTTCCTTTGCTTTTATTTTAAAAAAAAAAAGAGGGGGGGAATACCCCAAAATTAAACGTATTGTTAGACCTGAAATAATTTTTTTCCCCAACTTCTTGATCCACTGAAAATTCCAGCTAGTTTTTACTGGAAAAACTGTGCTTTTGTTGGTATAGCCATGTCAGCCACCTCTTCATTGTCCCTCCCCCGCATCCCAAAATAAGCTATACCAGAAAAAGCATCTTCACTAGCGGCTTTTGTTGGCACAACTATGTCAGCTGTAGACCACACCTCATCACACCCTTAACCAACACAGCTATGTTGGCAAAAGTTTGTAGTATAGACTTGTCCCTTGTGTAGACATTGGTATACCAGCAAAAAAGTGCTTTTGCCAGTACAGCTTAGGTAACTTTTCCTGACAAAGTGATATCAGTTAGCGGTGTGATTTTTTTACTGACATATCTATGCCAATATAAACCCTAGAGAAGATGCACTTTTATCAGAAAACAATGCTTTTGCCAGTGTCAGAACAGCTATACTGGGTCAGACCAATGGTCCATGTAGACCAGTATCCTGTCAATGCCAGGTGCTTCAGAGGGAATGAACAGAACAGGCAATCATCAAGTAATCCGTCCCCCGTCATCCACTCCCAGCTTCTTGCATTCAGAGTCCAGGGACACACAGAGCATGGGGTTGCATCCCTGACCATCCTGGCTAATAGCCATTGATGGACCTATCCTCCGAAGTTATCTGGTTCGTTTTTGAACCCTGGTATAGCTTATATTGATTGGGAAACTGGTATAAGCTGTGTGTAAACTAGGAGGGTTTGCTGGTATAACGAACTGTACTGATGTAACTATACTGGCAATCCTTTTATAGTGTAGACAAGGCCTTAATTTGCTCACCTAATTAATGTAAGTTATACCAGCAAAAGCACTTTTCTGGTGGTATAACCTGCATCTACCCTAGGAGGATTTGGCCAGTGTAGCTATACTAACAAAACTTTTCTGCTGTAGTCTCGGCCTATGTCCAATTTTTAAAACTGACTTTCAGGTCAATGGGACTTAGGCTCCTATGTGCCTATGTCACTTATGCATGTTTGAAAATTTTACTTAAGATCTCAGGAATGCTGTCTTATATTGATTTCCTGACTAAGGCCACGATCCTGCAGGTTACACCATGCAGAGCCCCAATAACTTCAACAGGGCTCTGTGTGGGTACCAGTGTCCTTTCATGCAGGATAATTTCCAGGATCTGGGCCTGAAATATAAACCACTTTGCTTTACAAAGGGTAGGAAAACACTACAAACAAGAGCAATGAATACAATAGTGCTGCGCAGTCAAACCACACTGAGAAAAATAAGCTATAGAGAAGCAAGTCATTTAAAATGGAAAATATTTTTTTCTTTGTGTTTTCTAGTAAACTAATAAAGCGTGTGCAAGTGCTGAGAGCACATTTGGTGGAAATGAATAAATAAAATAATGCTTTGCCCCTCTGTAGTGCCTTCTGTCCAAGAGTTTCAAAAATGCCTGCATGAGAAAGTGGCACTGGTTTAACTAAAGGTGTGATTTGTGGACCAGTTTAGTTAAACTACTGCAAAAGGCTACGTGGATTCATTTTACCAGACGTATTTCGGGTTAGCTTCAGTCAACTAGACTAGGTTTGAACTAATCCAAAATACGCCACTCTTATACGAGGTTAGGAGGGTCCACCTCAGGCTTTGGACTGATGTGAGTAAATCAGTTTAAATCTACGCAGCCAACTTCTGTGTGCAGATGAGGCTTTAGTCACACCACTGAATGAAGCCTCCCAACCTCCATGAGCGGTAGGGGAACAGCATTATCCATTCTACAGTGCAGTGCAGAAAGAAGTGATCTGACCAAGGCCACAAGCAGAGGAGGGAGAAGATCTCAGGAATCAACTTACCAAGAGATGTGGTGGATCAAGGCTGATGTCTCTTTAAAAATATGTTCTAGTTCAAGCACAATTTGTATAGGCTGGAGGCGGGAATTCCTGGGTGAAATTCCATGTGAGCTCAGCCTCCATTAACTGACCAGAGACTCCCTGACTCTATGAGTGGTAACTTGTGGGATTTCCCTCACACACTCCCATCCTGGCACCCAGCCTGGAAGCCGGCCTCACGCTCCAAGCCTCAGCGCAGCCCCTGAGGCGGGAAGGTCGACGCCCGGCCGGGCCGTGGGCCTGCGTAAGGAGTCGGTGGGGACTGGCGTCCGGTGACGCAGTGTGGGCGGGAACCAGACGATGGGGTGGGCGCGCGTGCTCGCTGCTCCCTCCTCTACGATCGCTACGCACAGAGTCGTCGGTCGAGGCAGGCGCCTTAAGATGGCGGCGGTCGCCGGGCCGGGCTCCTAGCTCAGCCATGGGGGTATTTTACTGCCCCCTTTGCCACCTCACCGCCTTTGTGGGTCGGCGCCACCTCTACAGCGCTAGCCACCAGCGACGGCTCCGGGAGGCGCTCAGCCGCCTGCAGGCCAAGGTGAGAGCCGGGAGCCACCGCACTCCCGCTGCCTCTCCAGTAGCTGGGCAGGGAGCTGCTGCCCGCGCTTGGGGGCTGCCTGCTGGGATACAAGGGAGCTTGGGGTGTGGAGCCGCGCCGTCGAGCGGGAGGGGGCGCGGAGCCAGGACGCCTGGGTTCTGTCCGCAGCTCACAGTTTGACCTGGAGTGCGGCACGTCTCTTCCCTGTGTCTCTGCTTCCCCATCAGGAAATATGAGGCTCAAACATTGCGGATCTGTCAGGCACGCTAAATGTGAAATAATAGAGGTGCTTGGGCTTCACACAATTTCTCTTTGGTGGCAACTAAGTCAGCATTTCCCAGAGCATGGACTGTGGGCCTCCAGGGGTGGGAGACGCGCCACAAGGGTGTAACCAAACACTGCCATTCTCCCTTAGCCCACCTTTCTGAGGGTTTTTTTTAAAGTAAGTTTCTAACTTTTTTGATTGTGAAGAAAAGATCCAAAATGTGAAGTGAGTGTAAATGATGCAGATATGTCCAACAGAGTTTGGCCACCCAAACCACTAATTCTGAGGTGTGACCAGCCCTCTTCATTTCAGTGGCTACTTATGCCAATGTCAGTCAAAGGCTAAAGCTATGCCACTGGCAGTTGAACCACAAAACTTTTGTCTTTGAGGTGTTAAGAAAACACTCCTCTCGAAGGACAAAGTTTTGTCGACGACAAGCGCCAGTGTGAACAGCACTTTGTCAGCAGGAAAACCGACAAACAGCAGCTATACTGTGCGACTTTTAGCAGCATGGCTGTAGCAACACAGCCAGGTTGTGAAAAACTGTGTGGTGTAGACGGAGCCTTAGACTTCATTGCGGGGGAAAAAGTGTGTTTTTATGTTGAGATAGCTATGTTGATATAAAAGTCGGTTAGAGTCATCAGTAGTTTTTACCTGGATGTAGCTAGTTGATGTAAATCCCACATGGCGGATATAAGGTTGACATTGATGTAAAAACTACTTGGGCCTTGTCACCACTTGTTTACATAGAGATAAGTATCTCACCTTAGCTATCGCCATGTAAACAACATCTTTTTCTGCCGTGAAGACAAAGCCTAAACATCAACATTAACTATTTTACTACTCATGAAAGCATGTGGGAAAGGAGAGGACAATGAATATTACAAAAATCTGCACTGGTGTTTATTAAAGTGTATGGGGGAAGGGGAGATGAGAGTTCAGAGGACTAGCTGGGTGGAGGAGCATGAGACAAAGATGTATACATTAAAAGGCATAGCCCTTTTCAAGCAGACGATGGGAGTGTAGGGGCCATGATTCGTTCAATTTTTGTAAAGAGGCTCCACTTTCAAAAATTTGGTAAACACCAGCTAATTCGCTTCTCTTCCCTCCTTCAATCAGGTGCAGTTGGCTCGGAAGATGATTAAAAATGCAGTGGTCGTGAAGTATGACGCAGGGGAGCATGAACAACTCTTCTGGTGTCTCTGCTGCAAGCAGGAGGTGAAAAGGCACCTGAGCCATGGGAGCCTGACAGTGCTGCATGGGGGACTTCTGCAGCACATGGCCAGGTATGGTGTCCACAGCCCTGTCTGCATCCCGGGGGATGTTACATGGTTTAATAATACTTTGTATGTGCATAGCTCCTTAACTCTGAGGCACAGAGATGAAGTGACATGCTTCAAACCATATAGTGAATCAGTGGCGGAGCTGAGTCTAAAACCAAGGAGTTAGTAACTAGATTCCTGCTGTAACCAATTTGATATGCTTGTGTAGGACAAGAAGTTAACATAATTCCGGTTCTGCTGAAGTTTCTGACAGCCCTTAGTCTTTATTCCTCCCTTGCCACTGACTTGCTATGTGATTTTGGGCAAGTCACTTCCCTTCTGTTTACCTCCATGATCTTATGTGGAGGTTGTGAGAACTAATTGTAAAGTGTTTGATGCAAGTTGCTTAACATGTGCAGCTTTCTTAATTTGTCCACTCCAGAAGTGAATAACTAAAGAAAACACATCCAAGATGGTCTTCAGTTTATATTTCTAAAATGTGCTCAACCTTATTTACATACAGAATCTATATTAAGTGTCTCCTAGGGAGCACATGATGACAATTCAGATATGGAAGTGTTGATCTTAAAGAAAACCCACTGCTTAAAATCCAATTACCTTAACAACATTAAACTAGTAACTTAAATGACTCCTAACTCTTCCAGTATAGTTATCCACAAATAATATTTTAATGGTAGGTCTGTATAATATTGTACTTCTAAAAAAAACTTACTGAAATGAGATCCAAGCTTTGTATAGCTGTAGTGAGATAACACTTTGCTGTTCCATAAATCTTTCCTTATTAAAGTGTGTTTGCTCAGAGACAGCTTTCATTAGCTTTTGTGTGGACTTATTTGTGAGATATAGGAAGAAGAAATGCTCAACACTCTAGAACTACAGTGATGACCATGATACAACTATCCAGGGAGACAGACGTGCTCTCTGCATCTTTCAAGGCTTCTGTGATTCAGCCAAAATTCTACATCGGAGAAGGGCATGAACCAAACACCAGATTTTAGTGGTGTGTGGCACCCAAACACGCCTGTTGAATGCAAAATTTTTATTCTATACTTTGCTTTTTCATGTTGCTTTAATGAGCAATGAAAACCAATACCTGTAGTGTTACAGCATATCTTACCTGCTTCCAATATCCGTTTCTCTTGGTATCCTTACCTCTCTATTTTTTGTCACATAACCATGGGCAACCCAGGAAGCTGCTCTATCAGTGTAAGTTAATAAATATATCTGTTTGAGATAAGCTGTTAAAGAGACATCTATGCCAGTTATTAATCATGTGCTCTCTACTTAATTAAGATTGGGAGTTCAGGCTTTAAGTGATTTAATCAAACTTGGTTTTATTCTTTCTTCTTTTTTTCTTTTAAAGCCTGGAGCATAAAAAAGAAGCCAACAAGTTCTGGTGGGAGAACAAAGCAGAAGCCAAATTAAAGCAGCAGTTTCTGATTTCCTCTGAGGAGTATGAACGGTATGTAGGCACCTTGTCTGTTTCTTTGCTTGGGGTATAGGATTTGCTACATTAGATCCAACTGTTGATTCAAAGTCTTTGGAACAGAGATGTTTTAGTGTGTGTATTTGTGGTGTATAAATAAATAGCCCAGACTCCTGCTTTGAGCAGCAACCAGTATCTGATACCATCATCCCCTGCACCTGGCTAGTTACATTGTGCTAGAGATGATTTTCTGACTTGCCCCAAGTGATCACCTCACTTTGTCGAGCATAAGATTAGCTCACCTTCTATTAGCATCATTATTAAAAAAAAAAACTGAGTCATAATATTATCCAGCCGTGTGTTTCATCTAGTCATATATACATTGCAAAATGTTATCATTCATCATAGCTTATCTTCCACGGGCTTTACAACCAGTAACTAATTAATCCTTGCAGGGTCCCTGCAAATGTAAGCCACCTTATCCCTGTCTTACAAATAGGGAAACTAAGGCACAGAGATTCAATGTCAGAGGTTGAGGTAGAAATTCAGGTGTTCCCAGCAGTTCAGCTGTCAGTCTAACTCAGGCCACAAAAGTGACTGATCTCTCAAATACTCTTTCAGGTTCAAATCATCACTTGTCAAAGCTCTGGATGCTTTTGAAGAAAAAGAGGATGAGGTCATTAAAGAGGTGAACAGAGATGTCCTAGGTGTGCTGTGCCTGACTTACCTGTTTGCTTTGCCTTTTGTCCTCATTCTGTTTTTTGCTTTGTTCGATTCCAGATGGCATCCCATATCCGAGAAGTGGAGCAGAGCAGACAGGAAATGGTACATGCCGTCTTAGAGGTTTGTTTTCCCAGGATGCACCTGAGCAGTATCCAGCAAATGATTGTTTCCACAAGCCCTCTGAGTTCTTATAAATGGCTATTTTCTGCATTGATTCTTAAGTTGAAAGTACATACAATTTACTTCTAATAACTTGTTCTCTCACTGAACAGTCGGGAGATTCTGATGTGACAATTGATAGGACTGCTGCTCTGTGGTTGCAAATCTCTGGCTTCATTCAGGTGTGGTTATCCGTCTCACAAATAGTGCAGTGCTTATGTTTGAGTGATCGTGGTGACTGAAATCTTCTTATCCTTGCTAGTCCTTCTAGGATAGGGTTGGATGTGGGTGACAGAGAAGGAATCTGGAATAAAATGTACTATTATACCAGCACTGGGGGAAAACTAGACACTTAAATACCCTTGTTTATAAGATACTAGTATGTATGTTACCTTCATGCATTACATTCTCTAAAGAAGCACCTGGAACCAGATATATCCTCTTGCTGGGAATTCAGTCTTTCACTTACAGGGGATGGAATCTGTTTGGCCTTTTTGACTATACTCAAACAGACTAGGTAAAGTTATTGGCCCTTTTATCTTTTTAAAAAGGGCAAAAATTGTCTGACTCCATAGAAAGGGCATTGTGATGTTGTAGATTCACTCAATGACTCCAGTTCAAATTGCTCCATTTACAGATAAAAAAGATTGCACTTTATAACTGTAGGTGCTGCAAGCACCCTGGGATCCTCAAGTAAGTCTGGCTCCATCCTCCTCAGCAATAAATATTCTGCAATTTGAACCTAGCTTACAGTTCTGTTGGTGATTCACAAGCCATTGAAAAGAGCTCCCTCTCTCTATTTGTTTTCTCTTGCTAGCACTGCAGAGCCAGGGCAAACAAAAAAAAAATGTTAGTATCTACGCTGAAAATTCCCACTTTCCTTGCCTCCAGATCACAAACATTGAATGTATGATTGCAATATGAGGTGTTTCATAAAACAGGAAGGGCCTTACTGTTGAATACCAGAAAAAATGTTTATTTTTCCTGAATCAAACTCAGCCTCAAACCGAGACAGAATTTTGTGATGAATCCTCTGCCTTCAGTACACCTGGAGGGCATAAAAGGTAAGAAATCTGCCTTTTATATCATCGTGTGTGTCCCTTCTGCTTAGGAGTTTTGAATTTGGTGAAATGCTGAGTAGCATTTATCTAGAGTTACTAACACCGTTTCCCTGGTCAGTATAGTTAGGACATTGATGACTATTGCTATCACTGTACCATTTCTCTGAGTTAACACAGTTCTCAAGAGCAGCAGCAGGCACCTTCAGCCGTCTGCAAACCCCTAGTGGGCAAATTAATCTTTCCTTCAGTATCCTAGAACAAACAATTAATTTTACCCTTTCTGAAAAGGTGGATAATGTCCTGCCTCCAAAACGGTGTTTTCAGGACTAAACTTTGCAAAGAACTAGACTGTCGGAGTGGTTTATAAATGCTAATTATTGTTTGCTGCTGAATTTCCTCTCCTCGTCCCCATTAAAAATCTCCAAACTTGAACACACTGAAGTATTTATGCCTCACCTGTTTCCCAGAAAATGTATTTAACAATTTCATGGTGTAGGTTGAAAAACATTTGCTGTTGTCTGGATACCAAATGCCTCCTGTCACAGGGTATTTTGGCTCCTGTGTTCTAGTGACTTCACCATCATCACAGAAGAGCAGCTTGGTCCAAGTGTGATTCAGATAACACCTGATTTAGATTGGATGGAAGAAAACCATGCTCTGACTTTTATTGGCCACCAGGTAAGGTTGGAGAGGGGCTTACAGAGTCACTTTCCTTTTTTCATGAGTACTGGTATTTCAGATCATAGCCAATGGAATTAATACTTTTAGCATTTGGTAAGAAACAGAATTATGGTTTGTAGGCTTCCCGGGTGGCATAGCTACTGCGAAAGCAACCCAATGGATTTCAGCAACTGAGTGGGTGAAACTCTTCGCCCTGAAACATGGAACTTGTTTCACTAACTGAAATGCACTGAAAATGAAAGATCCCTAGTACACGCTATCTATTAGATGGTGATAGAGAAAAAGACACTTATTCTTTGTTTATCTTTATTTCAAAGTTTCATTAGGGGAGGGAATTTCAAATGGAATTCATAATCCCATGAGCTGCTTATTTTCATGATCAGGTTCCCCTTGTCTATTTGTCCTTACTTGAAGATCTATGCAATCCAATAGTTTATTAATTGTTACTGTTTTTTAGTGTCTCTCTCCTGTGGTAGTACAAAGTTACAATAAAAGTTGCTTTTTTTTAAAATCCTCCAATTCTAATTGGGATTTTCTTAATTTTTTGAAAACAGGAATCTGAAGGGAAGGGAAATGTTCACACAGGTACATGTTTAATTGTTGCCAGGGTTTTTCACTTTTACGACCTTATCAAATGTTTCTGGGCTGAATCCAACAGAAGACTGCAAAGTAACTTAAAAACATAAAATTGTGGCAGGAGTCTGAGAACTGTTAACTGACTTTAGGTATTAGAATTGGGTGGAGCAAAATCAGGCTTGTAATGGAAACTCCTTTGAAACTGTAACTGTATGGTTGCAAAGTATGAACTGTCATGGTTCTTAGCTGTCAAAATTGAGATGCTTAGTCCTTTATTTTTTCCACAAAGGAGGAAGCACACAGTATAATACTTCCAGGAGAAAGCCATTTCACCACTGATTTGTTAGGGAAACTCTGTATGCAGAAATTTGGGGGTACTTTTCCTATCCTCTCCCCCTAGGTCTGTATTTAGGGTTATTTCAGTAGCCCAGCACCACCTTCCCTATTACCTCCTAGGTGCCAAACCTCCTTGGCTGATGCAGGATGAAGAGGAATTTGGAAGTAAACACCAGATTGGACCTTCATATGAGGAATTTCTCAAAGAACGTGAGTGGCTTTGGATATTACTACTTGAATATATTGAGGTGAGGTCTAGTTTTATTTAAAAAGAAAATCACTATACATAGAATGATCTGCTATGAAGTCTGACAAATATGCGTATAAGACTAAGTGGTGCAGGGTAGATGAGATACATTAAACTCTGCATGGAGGCTAGGTAATGATGATTTTCTGATAATCCTGGAGATGAATTCCAGTTAGTCAGACTCTAGTTAGGGGAAAGAGGAAAAAAAAAATAAAAAAATCCTCTTCAGAAAGAGACCAGTATTCTCCCAACCACTTTTTCTGTAAGTTTACCTAAAATGTTTGATAGAACCTCTTCACTCTCTCTGAACTAATGATTCTTAGAGGAGAAGCAGAAGCTGAAAAAACTTCCAACAGATCGTGTTGGTGCCAACTTTGATCACACCTCTGAGACAGGTGAAGGCTGGCTTCCCTCCTTTGGGCGAGTCTGGAATCATGGTAGAAGGTGGCAATCCAGGTAAGCATATACATATGATGGGCTGGCTGACATTAAATTCAAGAGGTGAGGTTCCTTGTACATATACAATGTTGGCAATTTGTAGGAAAGGAATTTCTCAAATGATCGACAGAAGTAGTAACATGTATTGCTGAAAGTAGTAAGAGGCGTTAATGCTCCATGTGTGAAGCCTTGGAGCTGTCAAATTCTAGTGCTGAAATATCTCACATGCCACCTTTTAAACAGTCATGTCTCTACTGCAGAAATACTGAGTACAACACTAAGTACAGATTTAGATTTGTGAACAACACTACTGAATTACAGGGGGTGCTGTTTGCCATAGCTACCTGAAGAGTAGAAACATCCTTATGAAATATTTAGACTGTGATAACACTCCCCCCTGAAAGTGCACATAAGTATTGCTGATTATAGTATGTTTCCTAGCATGCTGCATTCTCCAAGCTGACGTTTTCATGGATTTTTTTTTTTTAAGACATCAGTTCAAAGCTGAATCAGGTAAAGAAAAAAGGAAGACCCGAAAAAGACCAAAATCTGAGGTTCAATGAAAAAGCACGCACCACCTAGTGTTTAGTATACAAAGCGTATAATGTTGTTAATGCTGTTATAGTTACTGTATATCCAGCTATATAGAAGACATGAACTCAAACTAATTTTGCTTAAGTGGGACTTCACTGTGCCGTCCTACAGTGTAGATGAAAAGGAGGCCAAGGCATCTTTGGCCAGAGCTATCACATAATATCAAGATGCTTGAGATTTTTTTTACTCCATCTCGCCCCCTTAAGAAGACACAAAGTTAATTAAACAATTTTATTGTATACATTTACATAAGAAATACAGCAGAGGTGACTGGAAAACCTGCAAAGCAAAAAATACTGAGTTAGTCAATCAGTTGTGTAGATCTCATTGTCTAATAAAGTTTGTCCTACTGCAACATTTCTAATGTGAAAAAAGTCCTCCACTCCTGCCTCTTTTTATGAAGAGAGTTTAGATGGTTGGTTGCTATTGACTACAGAGCAAGTTCCAGAAGCCTTAATAAAAAGGCAACCGGGGCCTAAGGCAAGCATGGAGTGAGCCTAGCAGAAATGATCTACCCTATCTTGTGTCAGATATCCGTTACTATTTAATAGCACAACCTCTATTTCCTTCTTCCACTCATGGGCAGGCAATAATTCAGTTTTAGTGCTTCCAGCACTATATGGCTGTTTGTTTTTACTCTGTTCAGAAGTAGATTCCTATCAGGGATTTCACAAGGCCCTGGAGAAGTCCACCATGAGGAATTCACATTAGGATTTTGGCTAGCAATTCTATTAAACCACCTGTACATCAGAGGGGAAGGGATACCAGCAACTCTAGAATTTAAATAGCACCTCACTTTTTTAAGCATCCTCCCCACCAGCAGGTGCATCTCCACCCTTCGTGTTTCTGGTGTAAATCACTTGGGCTCGGTGCTTGGACACAAGTTTGATCAAACCTACAAAGGAAGCAGGAAACATTTATGAAAAAAATGTGCAGAATCTTTAAACAGTGTTAACATAACCTGGGGAGGCCCACACTTCTGAAGGCTAACAGCTCTACATTTCAGAGTAGCAGCCATGTTAGTCTGTATTCGCCAAAAGAAAAGGAGGACTTGTGGCACCTTAGAGACTAAAATTTATTTGAGCATAAGCTTTCGTGAGCTACAGCTCACTTCATCAGCTGCATCTACATTGAGAGCTTCAGACAGAGGGCTAATAACCTGTTGTTTCAAGACAGCATCTCGAGAACAGTTCCACTGTGCCTTCTACAGTGGGAACACAAATGAATTCCTATTGAAGCAACCAGAGTCAAAGGTCCTGTCTAGAACACAGTAGTCCTAACACTAAATGTTTTGTAGGATAGCAGGACTTCAGTATGATCCAGGAACAGTTATCATTGCAAAACATTCTGTTGTCAGCAATGTTGCCTCTAAATTTTTTCCATTAATGTGCACCACCAGTAGACACAAACCTAGATATAATATATATATATATTTAAAAGGCACCATAGCGATGATTACTTCAAGCCTGGACAACTCACTACTTAAAGAATTAAATTTAAGAGAAAGAAAAAATGAAATGCAGAGACCAGTCAAAAAATTCAAATAATAGCACGTTGAAAGAATTAGAGAATTATGTGCATTGGAGGAAGTATCACAACGGAAGTATGTGTTGGGAGGTGACAGTGAGACACACACGTTGCCCCTTTAAGCAGATCAGCACAGCAGCAGCAGCCACCAGCAAGCTCCCTCCATCCCACTCCTGAGTCCCGTCACATCCCCCTACCCTGCTCTGCAGAAACGGGATACAGGGGCAGAGGGATAGGGATAGGATGGACAGACACCCTGATATCAGTGTTCCCTCCTCCCTCAGCTCTGCATAGCAAGCAGGAGGCTCTGGGGAGCAGCTCCACAGTAGACGGCAAGAAGGGCACTTGACATGCATAGCACTTTATAGCAGGCTGGGCAGCCGGTGCAGCTTAGAGGGAACTTAGGTTGTCAGCAGACCTGGTTACATAGTTTTCTCCTTACACTATTTTCTACACTAGGTAGGATCTTTACTGTTCACAACCAGACACTATGGATGTCACGCATCAATTTTTTGCATTATATTTAAAAATATTATGAACACAAGTAACTTGTGTAGGAACAGATTATATCAATTCTGATGTGGTCTTACAGAGATAGATATTTTACTTGGCATTTTAATGTATTAGACCAGGGGTCCTCAACATGGTGCCCGCGGGCACAATGGCACCCACCAGGGCAGTTGTGTGTGCCCGCAGGACACTACACCACCGAAATGCCGCTGAGGAGCATTGCCGTTTCTCAGCAGCAAGGCTTCTTTCTGCTGCCGCCTGCCACAGTCTGTTGGGAATACGAATGTGCTATTCCCACAGAAAGGTTGGGGACCACTGTATTAGACTGATACAAAAAGAAAGGTGATTTGAGATATTTAAAAACTTAAAATGCTCATTATTGAACTTTGTATACAAGCTACCTGCAAATAGATTTGTATCAAAAATCAATCACCAACAAGTAAGGGAGATAAAATAATAAATCTGGTTTGAGGTCTCCCAATCCACAGTTCAGTGTGTTTTTACCTTTGCTGAGCAGTTCTTGGAGGGCAGCCCTTGCTAAAGATCCTCGAATCTTCAACCTTTCGGAGACTACAGCTGGCGTGATGAGCTTGTAGTTGGGCACTTCTTTGCACAGTTTATCATAAGTAGCCTTATCAAACAAAACAAGGTTGTTCAGCTTGTCTCTTACTTTCCCTTTGGACCACTTCTACAAGAATAAAAAGAAGGGGAACATCACCACCAAAGCAGCAACACAAATACCCCAATGAAAGCTTTGCCGTAATTTCAAGAACTGCGTCATCGGGTCACATAGCATTTCCTCCATGACCACCTAATGCAAGCTTGTTGCTCAGATGAGCACCAATTATAGAGAGACACCTATTCACTATGTTATCAGCACTGACGCATTAGCGCCACACTCTAACATGCACAAGGGGCCTTTCCTACACTACCGCAAAATGAAAATTTCAGAGCAGACAGCAACCAGGCATTTTTACCACTATTATTCAATCATGGGGTGTTAAGCCACTTGACAGTCTGCTCAGTGCTATCAGTGCTGCACCAGTAAATCATCCCCACAAGTGGCAAAGTGTAACTTGAAAATGACATTTGCTTCTTTAGTCCTTTATAGATCACAAAGTTCCCACCCCACCAGCTCAATTTTCACATTTAAAAATTCAGGATTTAGCTACGGTGAAACAATATGGGACATCCCAAAATTAGTAAGATTAGGATTCAGAGTAACAGCCGTGTTAGTCTGTATTCGCAAAAAGAAAAGGAGTACTTGGGGCACCTTAGAGACTAACTCTAACCAATTAGTCTGTAGCTCACGAAAGCTTATGCTCAAATAAATTGGTTAGTCTCCAAGGTGCCACAAGTACTCCTTTTCTTTTTAAGATTAGGATGTTATACTTACCAAGGAAGTGAAACTTCCTTCAGTGTTGAAAAGTCTTTTAGATCACCATTATACTAGAGGGGCAGGGGCTGCAATTTGTCCCCTTGCAACTCAAAAGTATAAAGGTTTGAAGAGATAATCCTAATTTCAATAGTCACATGGCATTCCCTCTTAAATAATTATATCAAGTTAAACTCTAAAGGACCATAGGGTTTATAATAACCTGCTAACATTTTAATCAGCTTATTTTCATGATCTACATGGGATCTAAGACATACAGTTGCCAATTAGCAATTAATATAATTTTATTTGAAAGCACTTCAAGCCTTAAAAAACATTTAAAGAGCTCTATGACACAGGGAAACATCCCATTTTACAAATAAAATATTAAAACAGAATAACTTGCCCAAGGGAGTTAGTGACAAGAGTTTGGAAGCCTCACTCCCAGTCACCAAGGAGTTAGTCTGTAGTCACAACTACTGTTGAATATCAAATGCAGAAACCCTCCTATATAGTTCCTAAATGCGATTTACCAGTATGATTAAAGAAAATAGAGATTATTATAGAACAATACAATATCTCACCGTGTGACCTTAAGCACAGCTTAGGGCTCAGCTACACAGGAAAACTGACCACATAGCTACTGCTCTCTGTCCCCTAGCTCCCCAAAAAGAAAAGGAGGACTTGTGGCACCTTACAGACTAACAAATTTGTTTGAGCATAAGCTTTCGTGAGCTACAAAGGAGATGACACGGACTCATCTTACAGAGGGCATGCAGAGAATAATTAGTGACAAAACTGCTCTGTCAGACCCTACTGCCGAGCACACACACCTGAGCCCAGTGGACCCACGCACCACAGTGCAGACTCCTACCTTTTTTTTGGCTTTACCCCCAGATTTGTTCACTGGGTCCTTGTCTTTCTTAGCGGACTTCCCCGCATCCTTTTTCTTCTTATCATCCTTGGGGGGCTGTAGAAAAAAAAAGAGCCCGGAAAGGGGGGGGGGGGGAGAAGAGAAAAGAAAAATGAAAGCAGGCGCCCGCCCTGGGACAATCCGCCTCCACCCGACACCGCCAGGCGCAGACCCGTCGAGTGCGCGGGAAAAAGCGTCCACAGCGGAGCCCCCTCCCCAGCTTCCACGCAGCACAAGTGGGGTCGGGCCACGCGGCCCTAACATGAGCCTTCCCCACCCGGGCGCCTCCCAACGGGGGGAGAGTCCAGGGCTAGGCCTCCTCGAGGGAGCCGGCACCCACTTGCTCCAGCTGCCTCACAGAGAACCCTGTCCACGGCCAAGCCGAGGGGCTAGGCCCTGGGGCCGGCTCACCATGGCGGCACCTGCTCCTGCTGCTTCAAGATGTCGGATGAGAAAGGAAAGAGTCTGCTCAGGGAGCCTGGGAAACCCCGTGCTTTCACTGCACTTCCGGAGCATGCAGCAACACCGCTTCTGGGTCAAAGAGAAAGAAATACAATTCCCATAATACAACGCTCCAAAATCGGAAACAATTCTCTTTCCCACAATGCACTGCGCTGGCACGTATCGCCGCTCGTAGAACTACATCTCCCAAAGTGCCCTAAGCTGACGGGAGCCGACATGGCCATCTTCAGCGTGTACGTTGTGAACAAGGCCGGAGGCCTCATCTACCAGCTGGATCACTACGCGCCGCGCTCCGAGACTGAGAAAACTTTCAGCTTCCCGTTGGACCTGGTGCTTAAGCTGCACGACGAGCGCGTGGTGGTGGCGTTCGGGCAGCGGGACAGCATCCGCGGTGGGCGTCCGACTGGAGGCGCCAGGGAGGCTGGGAAACACTGGGGATCCAGCGAGGCCTGTGGAACCGGTACCGGCCGCTGGAGGGGTGCTACGGCCGTTAGGGGGCTAGTAGCGCCCCCTGGGGCGGTTGTGGGGCCGGTACCGCCTGAGCAGGGGGTTGGGCTAGATGACCTCCTGAGGTCCCTTCCACCCCTGATAGTCTATGATTCTATGATGGGGGCACTGGAGGGATTGGGGTGCCGGAGGGGGAGGACGATGCCTGTCAGGGGGCTGGGGCGCTGGTACTGGCCACGAAAGCTTAGGCTCAAATAAATGTATTAGTCTGTAAGGTGCCACAAGTCCTCCTGTCCTCTTTTTGGAGAGGTGTCGAAGTGCTTGTGCTCCTGGGAGATACTGGGGCACCGTGGCTGTGCTTGCTGGGTGGGCAGTAGTGTCATCAGAGCATTTACGCTTTAACAGTGGCTGTGCTAAACCATACATTCCTCCTAAAGACACGTCTAGGGAGGCCAGTGGTCAGGTCAGCTATTGGAGTTCCTAGTTCCAACGCTCATTTGAAAGCAAATGGGCCTCAGCTCTGACTTTTCCCTTTGCTTCTTTCAGTTGGACATGCTGTGCTTTCCATCAATGGCATTGATGTGAATGGGAAATACACTGCTGACGGGAAGGAGGTACTGGAGTACCTTGGCAATCCTACCAACTATCCCGTGTCCATCCGTTTTGGCCGGCCTCGCCTCTCCTCCAATGAGAAGCTCATGCTGGCCTCCATGTTCCACTCGTGAGTTTGCACTGGAAAGTCTAGCTCTCTGTGCCCTGGCTACCATGGCACTAATGATGATAATTAGTGTAGTAATGCCCACCATCTGTGAGGCACTGGCCAAACCCAGAGGAAGACACATTCCTTGCCTCGAAGAAGGTACACTTCACAAAGACAAATGGAGGGTGGATATACACTATCATATCTCTAGTAACTTGAAGAGGAATCTTTTGTGTTAGACTTAAGTAATTTCCCTTTGTTTGTGAAGGTTGTTTGCAATTGGGTCCCAGTTGTCTCCTGAGCTGGGGAGTTCCGGTATTGAGATGTTAGAAACAGACACATTTAAACTACACTGTTTTCAGACCCTAACAGGTAAGACTTACTGCTCATGTTATCCCTGTTAGTTCAGTTTTGGGGCTGTTTCTCCCTCACTCTGAAAAGACAAGTACAAACTGCTTTATTTACTGCTGCAGGGATTCTGTGGATGCGCAGAATTAATGCCACCTGCAGATTTCTTTGCTTCCCTGAAGAAAAATGACTTCGGGACAGCCAGCGGAGAGGAAATCACCACTGGGCTGGGGACACCCCAGCCAGTGGCTCCTACCCTGAGCCGGGATCAGCTGCTAGTCCTGGCTGGGCTGGAGAAGACAGGACTTCCTCTTCCCCTGCAAGGAGTGGCTGGGGCTGTCAGACCCACGCCCAGAAATCTCCCCCAGCTGCAGGATGCTCAGCATCCTCCCCTGCTTCCTGCCCCCATAACTCCTCAGCTGAGGGGTCACTGTACAGGAAGCTGCTCCCCCATCCAACCAACCCCTGTGCATCTGGACCTCCCATAGCTAGACACCCCCACCAAGCCTTGCCCCATACACTGAGAACCCCCCTAGTCCTCCATATCCAAACCACACCCCATTGAACATCAGCCCCTGAATCTGGAGCCCCCTGCACCCAGACCACCCCGCACTGAGTTCCCTGAACTCAGACCCCCTACCCTGACAAGCCCCACCCCCCTGCACCACCCTAAGCCCCCACATCCAATCCCCATGCCAGTGACCCCCAATTAGCTGCCTCCAGACCCCCTCCAAACTCCACTCCCCCTGCACCCAGACCCCTCCACTGAGCCCCAACCATATTCACCTGGAAGCCCCTGCAGACTCCCATTGCCCCTACATCTGGGAAATCCCTCCCCCCGCTCCAATGAGCCTCTGTGCATCCAGATCCCCCCACACCTAGACCTCCCACTGGGCTGTCTGCACCCAGATTGACCCACACAGAATCCTCTCATCCCACACTTGGATCCCCCTGCAGTGAGTCCCTCCACACTTGGATCCTGGCTGTTTGAGCCTGCCTGCCCCACACTTTGTGTGCCTGGCACAGGGGGGCAGAGCTCTAGGGTATTTCTGGGGCAGGCCCAGGCTTTGTGCTGTGTTAGCGTCCGGTGCAGGCTCACCACTGAGTCCATGTCCCCAGGGTGGGGAGGCTGCAGGGTGCTCCTCACTGCCACTCTGGAGCCTCTGCATTTATTTCATTATTTATTAATTTCAAAATATTGTGCACAGAATTTTTAATTTTTTTGGCACAGAATGCCCTTGGGAATATTTATTAGACTTGTATATTGCTGCAAAAGTACTGCTTTTGTGCTTGATCTTTATTCATATGGTATTTCTCTGAATTAGATTGCCATTTTAAGATGAAAGGCACTAGAAAAGGCAAAAGATGATTATTTCAATATCCAGTTAGAGAGCACCAGAAGTATACAAAAGGATTTACAAAGAGCTGATGGGCCTCTATGCAGAGAAACTGACAAAGTACCTCACAAATATGAATTAACCCTCAACTTCTTACTCACCACCCAGGAATTATCCCCTTTACAGAAAGGGAAATTAGCTCGTCTTGTCTTGCCTCAATTGGCCAACATGTCTTTAAAAGTCTGGAATCTAGCTGAGGAATTGCAAATAAAACCCAGCCTGTGCTTGAAATGTAGGATTCCCCTAGAGGTGCTCAAGTGTATAGCCACATTAGCAATGTTACAAAATATGCTCTGTGCACCTGAAAGTAAAATCACATCCTGAATGTTAGCTTGCTAAAATACACTACTCAATCATTAATCTTTCTCTATATATCTTAAACAAAACAAGGCAAGTTTTAAATATTCTTCAGATGGTGTCAGCTGCTCTCCCGTCCTTCCTGTAAATGAGGCCTTTTCAATTATATTTGGGAATGTATTTCATAGTATTATTACCTTTGCAGCTTGCATGTAGTCAATGCTAATGCTTCTTTCATTATGGCTCCAGGGATCAAATTTGTGGTGCTCGCTGATCCACGGCAAGCTGGGATAGAGTCCCTTCTGCGCAAGATCTATGAGATTTATTCTGACTTTGCTCTGAAAAATCCTTTCTACTCACTGGAGATGCCAATCAGGTAGGGAGTAGGCAGACGATGTGTAGAATAACAAGATACTTAGCGCTTCCTCAGCTCTCCACTTTGAGAGCACCGTACAACCATTAATACAACCCCCTTTGAAGAAGAGAAGACATGTGATTTTACTGTCTGAGTTTATTTGGTCAGTGACAGAATTGGAAGCCGACCCCATGTTTTTAGCGCCCGTTCCCAGAGTCCATCTACTAAAAATAAACCTAAGATTGTTGGGTTCTCTTTTGACCGGGGCTGCTGATGGGAGCTCTGGTAGTACACCTGACTACTTAGACGCATACACTAGTTTTGTTTAAGGCACAATCAAAAATCTAACTTTTTGCATGATTAAACTAAATTCCATAAGGAGGTTCAGCGCTGTCAAGTTCTTGGAGAAGGTCTTCCAAGGACACCAGTCTGAATCCTGTTCTCTAGAAAAGGCTGGAGGAAACTTCCTCTGGAGTTCCAGTTGAACAACGTGACATGCTCTCTCTTGGCAGGGCCCCTATTGCACTTTTAACCCCTGTCAAAGTGGCAATTAAGCTTTGTTTTTGAAATGGTTTTGGCATGTCAAATAGGAAAGCTGAACTCAAGCTGCTTTGTTAATCAGTCTTTTGATTAAAAAAGTTGCCATTAGCAGAGTCTGGAATGAAAGAGAAGCTAGTGCAGGTCTGGGGCTGTCTTGGAGCTAACAGTTCTCCGATTAAAAACACCAATATGTTTTGGGTTGTAGATGGAGATTTTTGTCACCCTCTTCTGATCCTCATGCCTGTATTTCTGTGAATATTTCAGGTGTGAGCTGTTCGATCAGAACTTGAAACTTGCTTTGGAGGTAGCAGAAAAAGCTGGACCATTTGGACCAGGATCATAGGACTTTTCCAGTGTCAATAGTGAGCCTCTCCTCACGAGATAGCTTTTCCAGAATCCTGTCTCTGGCTACAGCAGCGAGAGAGGAGGTCATGAGGTCCCAAATTGCTTTTGTCATCTCCAGAAATGCTGCTTTATTCCATGGTTGTGGAATCCACCTTTGCCTAACAGTGAATATTATTATAGCTAAGAATGGGCATATGTGGCTGAAGCTATGATTGCAGCTCTAATGCTGTCACTGTAACACAGAGGAAGATAAGACACAACATGATGGTAAAACCTCAGTTATACTCCCCTTTCTCACTCTTAAGTGTGTGTATATATATATATATATTAGTTTTTCTCTGCAGCTTTAATTTATGGCTCAGACAAATGGTTACTTTGGATGTACAAGTAATAAACATTCCCTTAAAGTGTGGATAGATTATTTCTTGGACTAGATACATTTGCTTCTGCTAGAGCTAGTCTGAACTAGGGTAAAAATGCAGCCTGGTTATTATCACTCTGGTGTTCTGTTTTACCATCTGAAACCATTCTAGCTTGAGATGCCCTTTACTGTGCCCAGAACCCCATTGGAAGGCAACACTTCAGCTTACCTCGGTGTAAACGGGAATAATGGATTTCAAGCAGGGGAGGTGGGTGAAATGAATAAGGAATAAACTGAAAAAATAAGTTCCTTGGTGTCTGCACAGCTGTTCTGAGGAATAGCAGCAGGAAGGGCAACATAAAATGACTGCTTCTGACTAAGGCTGCTCACTGTAGAAAGAGGAATGTCCTGTATCTAGGACTGGCCTCTGGGCAAGAGCTTCCCCTTTTTTCTTGGTCCCTTTGCACAAGAAGTCTCATGCTGCCAGTGCAGTGCTACATTTTTATTTCACAGTTGGTAAACAGTATTTCTTAATACTCATGCTTAAGTATCAAAGGTAGTTTACTTCTGTACGATAGTTAGCCATTTTGTTAGGACTGGCAGAGCAATCTGTTATGTCAAGGTAGCTTTACGGTGGTGGCCACGGAGCTTCTTGCTTACCTACAGGCATTCTAAATAACTAAAACCCTGCAGAGAACACAAACAAGAATCCTGATAAGAAAAGTCTTAACATATGACATACTAACATACTACCAAGGGGCAATGCTCCTGCTAACAAGCATTCGTAATAGTAAGCAGACCCTATGTTGTAGTTTAACCTAAAAATGCTGTAGCTGGTTGAGTTCACTGGAACTGGAGACATTAGAAATTTATGCTTTCACCTGACAATATCCTTGATTATGTTACTTACAGAAATAATCATTCCAACCTAATGATAAAAATCTCTTAAAGACTTTTCTAGATAATGCAGAAAGAGAGGAGCTATACAAGGTGTGTATGTGTCTAATGCTGTTACTGCTTACACTCTTGAACCAATTTCCTTGGTACTCCAGGAAATACTATTCTATTCAGTGTTAACCATCTGTTTTGCAATTCACTAATACTCTGAGGCTAGCCATGGTGACTAATTTAACAGCAAAAAGTAACTGTTGTACAGTGCTTCCATCTCTTGAATGGAGTTCCAAGAACTTTACTCATTTGCTGTTACTGAAAAGGGAGCTGTTTTGCTGCAATGGCAGGGATCTGTAGTAATATGTGGACCAGTAACTGTTCAGTCTCTGACAATAGCTGGGCGACCAGCGTTTTTCTTTAGTAATAAGAAAGTGGTCGCTGCTTCTGGGGAGGGAGACACAGAAGGTAACTCATGACAGAGTAAGCTGGGTCACAGCTGCACCGACAACAGCAAGGGAGGTAAATGAAAGAAGGCTCAGTGCTGGCTAACTCTAATATTTCTGTAAGCAATGAGGGTGAATTGAGAGCAACACTACATCTGAGGCCAGCAGCAAGAAGGCTAGGCAGGTACGAGATACGGGTCTTCTGCAGTACTTCTAGTTTAGCAAGCAAGACTGCGAAGTCTCTGCTCAGTTCACTAACAGTACTTTAAGTAAGAGGTAAAGTGAGGTCATGAGATGTAAACTATAACAGTGACCAAAAATTCTGTAGGCATTAAAACGTAACAGCTACTGAAGATCTTGTGCCTTTCTAAACAGGAATATGATTAAAATAAAATGAAGTTTTGATAAATATTCTGATCTAGGCTGCATTGATAGGAAACTCAGTACCAGGCCAGCGAGTAGTCACTTGCCATCCTTAGATAGCATCTGGAGCATCCTTAGTACCTTTGCTGCTCATCTTTAGTCAATCTTCTTGGGTACCCGACCCATCTTGGTGCGGATGTTCCGTAATAAGAAAAAGGCTATGGTGCTGATGACACATGTTATTTCAGCTACCCAGAAGGCTGTGGCCCAACTGTAGTGCTTGGCTATAGTACTGAAAGGCAATCCAGCCAGGAAACCACCAACTGCAAGGATAATGGGGAGAAGAGAGCAGAGTTAGAGTCCCTAATAGCAGCAGAACTTTACAGTTTCTCCTACTGACACTGTTCTTTGTGCTGGTCCCTGCATTTATAAAAATGCTTCAAGCCAGATAGCTTGAGATATTTAAAACAGTGGACAAAGCACTGTGACATGCAGTAGAGAGCAATTCTGCCCTGCCTGGGGAAACCGAGCTAGTCACTCAGTAGCTCCAAACTCTTTTCTTGGGGTCACTCCTTCAGGGTTCCTCAGTGAATGGGCTATGGCCACGCTTTCCTCCAAACTGGAGATTTGCACTGCCAGAAAACTCAGGGGAGCAAATTATTCATCTTCAGCTATCAGAGAAGATACAAATGTTGTGGTTGCAATTATCTTTATTTACAAATGTTTATTATGAAAGCAAGGAACGAGTCATAGCTTGTCATGGCGCAAGCAGCTGATATACACATGAGCCCTTACCTGCTACAGACTTTCTGCTCAGGCAAAACTTACCAAAATTTGTATATATATGAATAAGAGGGACAGACAACTAAACAGTGCAGCGTTTTCACTTGTGACCAGAAATACGTTTGATCCAAAACTGCAGAGTTAAACACTGCTGTGTTTTGGGAAAGTCTGGATCCAAACTTCAACTGGACCTTCTCTCATTGTGACCCAGATGTTATAGGGATTCAGGCCTGGTCCAGATCTCAGAATGTTGGTGGTAACTCCTGGATTACTGACTTTGGGGTTTCTTTTGTTTGTTTGGGGGTTTTTTTAAGACAAGAAAGATCTTAAAGGGAATATCAATGTGCATGGACTGTGTCCCTAATAAGTTAACCCTCTGCACTCTGGACTTTTATCTTTAAATCTTCACTGGACTGGTAAAGGCCCAGGTTTCAGTGTCAAGGACTTTTTAAAAGAAGTCTTTAAAGGTGACGTATGAGGACCAGGGTCCCAGAAGGCCCAACACAAAAGATGCACTTCACATTTGTCCATCTTATCCATCTCTAAATCCAAACCGTTAAGAATATGGATATCTGAACTCTCCAAAGGTTTTGTATGGACTGCAGTCTTCAACATGGCCCACAGAGCCCTACATGGTGGGCTGCAGAATGAAACATTTTGAGAATCAAGCATGAGATTAGGGAAGTTCCTCAGTGACAGTCTTAGGTTTTCAGAGACCCACTTAATTTGTTGAATAAACAGATTCAGTTGCACAGCCATTCGCTTCCCATTCTCTCAGCTGTGCTGCTTGAGACACAACCTTTCATATCACTAAGTAGCAATTAATCATAAATAAATTTGTTAGTCTCTAAGGTGCCACAAGTCCTCCTTTTCTTTTTGTAGAACCAATTTGAAATCTCATCTTGCCAGACTAAGATCATCAGGAACTGGGGCTTCTTGCTGCTACAGAATAAAGGTTCTGAGGTTTGTGTGAGGGGGAGGGTGTATCACTCACCATTGGCCATTAGTGCAACAATAGCATGGGAGGTGCCACACAGGTTGGAAGGTGCGCTCTCATTTGCTATCACTCCAAACAATGCAATTGGTCCATAAGAAGAAAACCCAAAGATGGCTCCTAGAATCAGTATCCACAGCTATCAACACAAGCAAAGAGTAATCAGAAATGGGATCCCTAAATTTGACCCCTGCTATTGGTTAGACATTGGCTAAGTGTGTAAGGCCCTGTCTACAATATATTTCAAACTAAATGTTGTTCCGGCTGACACTGCTTCCCTGGCCAGTGGATATAAAAAGTCTAACCATGTGAAACAGAGTCTGCTCTGCCACATGTTTTTAAGATGGTTTATAATCGAATGCATCCCTGACTGCATTGGCCAGCACATTATCCGCTTCCAAGCAAGAACTTTGTTTTTCTCTCTGGTTCTGAATAACCATCTGAACTGTCACATAGCCAGGTCTCAATATGAAACTCCCTAAATAGGAAGACGTAGTTGCTGTGTTTTCTTAAAGTTCTATTTAATGAGCTTTAGGTTACAGTGAAATGACACAGAGAAGGTGTTTACTGCATAGTAATCTTTTAAAAAATCATTCTGAAGAGTCTTGGTTAAAGGGCATTATAGTTTCAGACACATGTTGGTCAGTGCATTTATACCTGTTTTGAGGCATTCCCATTATTTTGTCAGCTGAAAATCCTGCAATGTTATATTACAAGGTAGTCTGCCTGAACATGGACTCCAAGGTTGGAATTTATGCTAACAAAAATTGATATTGAAAAGTATGTGAACAATGGCACCAATCTCAGGCCCATAAAGGGTTTATAATTCTTTGCCCATCTTAACGCTTTCCATCTGGGGATTGCAAAATGCTGTATAACTATTAATGAATTAAGCGTCAACATCCCTATTGGGCATAAAGTGTTATCTCCATCTTACTGTTTGGGAAACTGAGGCAAAAAGGAGGACGGGAAGTGACTTGCCTAAAGTCAAACAGGAAGTAAATGGCAGAGGCAGGAATAGAAGCCAGGTCTGGAATCCCAAGTCCTGTGCCTTAGCCATAAGACTTCTATTAATAGTTCTCCAGACTGATTATCTCATCTAAAGAGTAAACATCCCCAGAACCTATCAGTGTTTTAGTACTGGTTTTATTAGATTGTTAGTTTAGTAATATGAAATTATGAAGCTTCTTTCAGAAAACTTACAGCACTCTTCATAATGCCCTGGTTATAAATCCTGTTGAACTAACCAACCTTTCAGAGTAGGAAAGAGTCAGTAAAAGTAGAAACAGGCAGAAGGGGAGAGAGAAAGACAAGGCAGAAACCTCCTGTTCTGTTAAGCCTGTGAGGGCAGCGAGAGGATGCAAGGCTACAATCCAGAAGTCGTTTTCCTGAGGAAGAAGTGAGGAAACATTAAAAAGGGTAGAAGTGAAATTCCATTTGTTTGGCAACCACCAGGGAAAGAGAGACAGAACACACAAATATCAGGAGTTAGTGCAGAGAACTGCCAAACTTGCTGCTAACAAAATCCTCACCATTAAAAGGGATACCATCAGCTTAAACACTCTTCTGCCCGATAACGCTTTAGCTACCGAAACAGGTGGAGTTCCCACACCGCCCTGCAGAGTCAGAGTTCAAACTTATCACCTCTTTGGGGTTTGACTTTATTGGAAGTTGAACCACCACCATAACATAAACCTCAAACTGAACTTTCTCCCTGTCATGACTGTTCCTATAGTTTCCCTGCAGAGACAGCTCTGTCTCAGACCCCAATTCCCTTTCTCCTGACAGCTGGTTCCACCTCCCTTATATCCTATTGGAGCTAACAAGCAGCAGTACGTACTCAGCAGTTTTTTGCAAGGTTCTAATTCCTGTCAACAGGGTGGGCTCAGCAGAAGAGCCCTTATCCCTGCCGCCTTGTTACACTATTACACAAAACACATCAGATAACTGAAAGAGAGCAGAGGAGACATTTTCTCTATTTCAGTTTGTTTACTTTGGACATTTGGCAGCACTATATATAATCAGTTTGACTCTGCACTGGAAGCAGTCTCTCCTCATCTGTGGGAGTTTCACACAGCAGAAGGGAGAAGGGAAAAAAAAACTAATTGTGAAAATAAAATCGCCCAAATTGGGTAAGGACTCTGGGGCAAGCCTAGGACCCTGAAGCTATTTTTAGTCTAGTTAGTGAAACTGACTAGATTTCAGGCTGTCAATGCTGCTTTAAAATTTCTCAGCTGCAGATAAAACCCCTAACTTCCAGACCAGACATGGTGGTTCTGAAACAGGGCTCCAGAAAGCTATACTACAATCCATTTTATAAATCTGTCAAAGAGGATGCCCTGGAATTTTGTACAGTCATTTACAAAAAGGATTATGAAGTCAGAGGAAGAGCTACAGGTTTCAACAGAGTCCCAGAAGTAATTATTAGAGTTTAAGCACGCTTTGCTGATAGATAGAACTCCTTCAGGTGGGTTTGGTTCTTCCTTTATTTGAGCAGCACTGAGCATACTGTAAGTACTCAAATAAAAAAATAACATGGCATCAAACTTCTACCATTTTTATGCAGAACTTCCAATGCCACAACACAGGAATCCCGTCCTGTAACCTGTGCTAGTCAGTGCCTGAGTGCAAGAACATTCACCACCATCTAAATGAAGCTGATGAATGCTTCTGTCACACCACATGCTGCATGAGAACAAACTCCTTGTGCATGGGTTACCTTAGGAGAGTCACTTGTGACTGTGACCCGGAAAAGGTACATTGAAGCAGACATTCCCGCCATCATGGAAAGCAGGAGCACATGCCGAGGATTCCCATAACTTGACAGACCCACCTGTAATACATATTGGAACAGAGAGAGAGAGAGAACGCACACAGAAAATGTGAGTTACTAATGCCAACTGATTCACAGAAGTTAGGGCCAAAAGGGACTAGATAACCTGCATAACATAACATCACCCAGTAATTTCTGCTTCAGGCTCATAACTTCTGTTTGAGATAGAGTATATCTATAAATCAAGACTGATGTCTTTCCAAAAGACTCCAAATGATGTACAATCCATCATGTTCCAAGGTCAACTGTACCAGTGGTTAATTATCCTCTCTGACCTTACTTTTAGTTGATTTGTCTAGCTTCAGCTCCCAACCACTCTATTTCATTATGCTTTTTTCTGTTAGATTAAAAGAGCCTTCTTCTATCAGAAATCTCCCCAACTTAGGTAACAGTACTTGTAGACCATGATCAAGCCACCTTTTAACATTCTTTTGGATAAACTAAATAGATTGAGCTTCTTAAATTTCTCACTCAGGCATGTTTTCCAGATCTCTAATAATTCTTGTAGCACTTTTCTAAATCCTTTCCAATTTTTCAACACCCTTTTTGAAGTGTGGACACCAGAAATGGACAAAGTAATCCAGTAATGAATCATAGAATATCAGGGTTGGAAGGGACCCCTGAAGGTCATCTAGTCCAACCCCCTGCTCGAAGCAGGACCAATTCCCAGTTATAATGGTAATGGTCACACTAATGCCACATTCAGAGGTAAAGTAACCACTCCCTAACTTTTACTTGTGATTTCCCTGCTTACACATCCAAGGATTACACATTAGCCTCTTAGTTACAGCAGTAAGGTGGGAGCTCATGTTCAGTTGGTTATCTACCATGACCACAAATTTTTTTTCAGTGTCATCACCGTTTTCCAGGATATGGTCCCCCATCTTGGGTAACCTACATTCTTTGTTATGTGACCCTACATTTAGCATGTTTTTCAAATGAGCCCACATCATCAAGCAATCTAGCCTGTATTTATCATTATTTGCCACTCCACCAATTCTTGGTGTCATCTGCACATTTTTTCCAGCTATGATTTTATATATTTTTTCAGATCTTTGATAGAAATTCAATAAAACTCGGCCAAGAATAGAATCTGTGGGAAGCAACTTCATTGCATGATGATTCCCCATGTACAATTTATCAGGTCACCAGTTTTTAATCCATTTAATATTGGCTACATTAATTTTGGATAGTGCTAAGTTTATTTTTAAATCAGAATATTGTGAAGCACAAAGTCAACTGCCTTCAGAAGTCTAGGTATATTATACCACCCAGTTACTCTATCAACCATATCTGTAATCTCATCAGCTGGAGATCTCCCTTGGAAACTTGATGGGCGACACAGGTAGTGCCCATCGTTACAGAACTGGAGTGAATTTCTCTCATCTTGACTTTTCTGTACATGGGTGGAGGTCAGGGAATGTGGCTGTAAATATACAGGATTTATAACAACCTGTAATTTTACCTCCCATCCCTGAATCCACACAATGAATCACATAACCCCGTTTTTACTGCTTTACAACCTGTGGATACTTGCTATCTGTATAATTAATAAGCTTTTATGGCCTTGTGTTTTGCAGTCCAATGCTGCAAATAGTTCTCCTGGGGGAATTCTGCTCCATTTTTTTTTTAAATTCTGTACCAAAAAGTTAAAAATTCTGCACACAATATTTGAAAATTCTGCATATTTTATTTGTCAAAATAACACAATATAATCATGCCAGTTACAATTATTTTGGAATTTATTTCAAAACATCTGTCAGCAAGTATGTCTGTAACAATACAGAGCAAAAAAAGATTCTGATAATTTTTTTTGACAAATAGATTCCTTACTAGGCATATTAGTACAGAACTTTGTGTAATTCTTTTAAATTACAGTACACAACTGTATTTCCTGCATCTGTCAGAAGCAGTGCAAAGGCTTGGCGGAGTCAGGGGTAACAGAAGAGCTGAGGGAGAGGGAAGGAGCCTGGGAGTGAACCTGGAGGGTGTTGAGGATGGATGGGGGGATGGGATTGTTAGGGTGTTGGGAAGCCTCCCCCATGCAGACCCTGGCTGACCCCAAGCCTCTCCCATTCAGTCAGGCACATCTGCCCTGTCCCCCATCCCCATGGTCTCTACAGCCCCACTCCCCCATCCCCATGGTCTCTACAGCCCCACTCCCCCATCCCCAGGCTCAACGCTGTCACCCCACTAGCTCTTGAGCCCATGCTCCGCCTGTCCCCACCACTAGCCATTCTGAAACTGACTGTGACCCCACAGCAGCCCTGTGTGCCCCACTCTGTCCTAACCTGGCTCCGCGGGCAGCATGTTGTGATGATCTGTACTCCTGGGGGAATTCAACCGCACTGGGCATAGACTTTTGTATTTTCCTGCGTAAAATACATTTGACCTCAGAAGTGCTGCAGTTTTGCCTTTTGCCCATCAGGGGCTTTTGTGGCGCTAGAACGCAGCAGGCTCTTCTGGCGCCACAGCGGCCTCTGATGGGCAAAAGGTGGAACTGCAGCACCTCTTTGGGCAAAATGTTCTTTAGGCGGGAAAATTAAAAATTATGCGAGGCAGATGAATTGAATTCCCCCAGGAATAAAATGGTAACATTACAAGATGATATAATCTAATTTGGCTTGAGTGACCTATATAAATCTCCTCAAAGCTTCTCTCTTATGGACACCAGAGGCATGATTTAATTATAGGGCTGTGATAAACTTGTAACAAAACCAGGCAAAATTCACCTGGTTTTCAATTTAATTAAAAAACTCAATCCAGACCTGCAAGCCTTTGACTACCCTAGCTGAGTTTTGAGTCAGGTGAACTACTATTTTGGGTGGAAACTGCTTGTTTGTTCTAACAATTTCAGGTGAGGTTTCACTTTGTGTTCTGCGGTTTGTTTGAATGAGAATCTGAGAGCAAAAGTGAAGAGGTGCATACCCAAAAGAAGTGAACTGGGGAAGTGGGGTTGTACAAAACTCTGTGAATGAAACCAATGAGCTCTAGATTACTGTATATTGGTCTCTGTATTATCATGTGAATTAATGTATTTCTCATAAGTAGCTTTATCTCTTTGCAGAAGTGTCTACTAATCACACAAGACCAAGGTGACACTGGAAAGTCTCAGCTAGTGACTTTCACAGTTTAGACCCATTTTTGTCCTGCTCTGCTTTAAGGTAATGTTTATTATTTCCATTATTTAGAAAAGGGCCCCAGCAGGAGCTTTGCCACAACACAATATATGTTATGCCTCCCCTACACCAAGTGAATGCTAGATGGTGCCACTACTGACAGCAGTAAATCCCAGATTACCTTCACTAGTACCTGACTCCAGCATAGCAGTCCTAGGCCTCTGATGACACCCATCAGGCCAAGTTTCCATATGCTTGTTGACTAGTTGATTTGGAAATTATCAAACATTTTAATGGACTGGACCTATGTCCACCTACCCCAACTCTTTGTATGGGGCAGACCCTGGTTTGGATTTTGCAAAACCACAGCAGATCAGATATGGTTTTAGAGAAACATCAGAAGTTTGGGGGAGGCAGGGAACAGAAAGTAATTTTGAAAATGATCACCTCTGGTATGGGGTGGGCCCATACTCCCTACCCCCACCCCCACCACTGGGCACAAAGCATGTGAAATGGGATTTTCAAAGAAGCCTAAATGAGATAGGCACTTAACTTCCATCAGTCTGTTGAAAAATCCCAGCTGTTAGAAAGAAAAGATTTTGTATTTTCTGAAGTGTTTAGAAAGAAAAAATAAACTAATTTTAAAGTGTCAGTGAATCTGCATCAGCATCCCTTGGCAACCCAGGAAGGTTGCATTTTACATCCTCAGCACAACAACCTCTCACCTTTGCAGTTCTCTCACCCCTGGTACTTCCAAGTTCAGAGTTACCAGACATTCCAGTTATTGCACTGAGATCTACCAGCTTTCCTACTGAGAATAATGGAGTGGACAACGTTCCAGGCTGCTTACCCGTGCTACTGCTCTGTCAGAAAGGTACCCAGCTGCAATGCTTCCTACCAGGCCCCCGATTTCTAAGGCACTCATGTAAGAACTGCCTAGAACATAGGATAAGGGGGTGGTTAGGCAATCAGGTCCAGGGAGGAAACACCAAAACAATTTCTTATTAACAGTTTATGTTTGTGCACAGGGATCAGTTCAATATAAAGGCAGTATCAGGGAGAATGGAGTAACTAGCCCTAAAATGCTTACACTTTGCGTTGTCTCTCAGTTTCCCCAGTTCTTCTCAGAGCATCTTATATTTTTTGTTGTTTTTAGTTAAATAGTGTTTGAATTAAGAGCTGGTGGGTAGTGCCACCCCAACAGCCCAGGAGACTGAAATTCTCTGTCCACAGAGCAGGTGCAAACCAGGCAGCAGCATGGCAGACTTCTCCCACACATTGTCTCCCTGCCAGTGTGCCCCCACATTGATCTATGAGGATCCGTTGGGGTGAGGTAAGAAGACTGTTCAATCACCATGACTTAGTCAGTCCCTGGAGTCTCTACAAAGGAGCCAATTTGTGCCCTTTGTACTGGGGGTTTCTTGGCCATGGACACCTGGTCATTAGGAACCGGTCAGATACACAAACTCATTTCATATATGCCATCAAATAGCCACCGATGAGCACTATTGGTTACTACAAGCCTGGGCTGAATTTAAACTTGTGACCTAATGAGGAAGTGCATGTATTTCTTGATCATTCCCCTGTGCCATTCAGTAACCCGAATAATCTGGACTGGTATTTTCAAAGGCACTCAGATCCCATTAAAATGGGAACTGGACACCTTGCTCCTTAAGGCACCTTTGAAAATCTCAGCCTTAAGCTTTAAAATGAGTCTGTTGTGTCTTACCCACAAGAGCAGACTGTCCTCTCTCCTGAATCAGGAAGAGCTGACCCCAATCTGTACAGCATGTCTTCACTCCGAAGACAACCAGATAGCCAGTTGAGAGTACCCACAGGTACGGCGAGAGTAGCAGCTCTGCCAGGGTGCTGTCATCTCTGGATGAGCCTGAAAGGAGAATTAGTAGAAACACCATTACACCGCTTGGACACAGCAATAGGACACAATCAACCCAGCTGGGGGGTAGGATGATCTGTGAGCAGATTCTGTGTGCAGTGGGAGCAGCCTTGTAACAGTAAGGCTTTTCTAAATGTAGAACTAGCAATGATCGGCCATTGCTACCACCCATTTGCTGTGTACAAAGAAACCTGTCCATGGTATTTATCCCACTTAATTAAAAAGCAGACATCAATAAGCTACATTTTACTCCCCATAACTCTGCTCTCTTATGGTTCCCAGTGAACACTTCCGACAGAAGATGTTGGAGAACATACTGTCTGCTCTTCCAGATTTTGTTTCTAGTCCTCTTCACTAGTCCGTGAAAGAAGCTGTGTACATCCCACAAAGGACATTGCATTTAAGCTAGCTGCTCAGTTCTTACATGAACCCGACAGTTATGTCTGCTAACACTCATATCCCAAAAATACGTTGTGGTAGCAATTATGTTCCCATGACAATTATCAAATGCCAATTCCAGCAGCAAAAGATTTACAGGGTGATACAGAAGTCACTACTTTAAATACGGTTTTTGTAGGCTTTTAAATCCAGTGACAGTCCCTGTGTCACAACAACCCTCCAGCCCTTTTGCTCTCAAGAGAAGGTTCAATTCACTGGACATGACCCAACATTTATTAACTAGATGTCCTAGTTCAGGACACCAAATGTTGAGCAGAGTCCACTCAAACTAGGGTTCAACAAAACAGGAGGCAGAATTCTCTGTTTATTGGAGACATGCCAAAGGCAGCTCTTCTCTCTGCTGCTCAGTAAGAAACAAATAATAATGCTTTACACTACAGCCCTGCGCGGGATTAGTGGAGCCCTGCAGCGGGATTGGGATCCCGTGGATCCCACAGGACCTGCTGCCATAATAGCAGGAGTGGTTGGGAGCAAGATTAAAAATAGTCCCGCACAAGGCTCTACTTTGCCCCTCTCTGGCATGGAGGATCTCAGATCATGACATAAATAATTTAAGACCCCAAGGGAAATAGAAGAATATTAACATAAACATTTTATAGATGGGGAGACTATTGCACATAGAGCTGAAGCAACTCGCTGAGGGTCCCACAGAGTCAGTGGCATAGCTGGGAGTAGATGTGAAAGCGGGTTAGGATCTTTCCCTGCCCTACGAGACTCCATTAGATGACTGTCCTTTGCACAATCGAGGGCACCAATACTTTCACACTGCGAGACACACATGACACACAAAACGTATTCCTTAACCAGGATACCTCAGGTGTTCTCACAGCATACGACTGCAAGCAGATCTGGAGTTAAATGCTGATAAGCACCAAGTTCAGGAAATGGGAAGGGCTTGTTCCAGCACCAAGGAACCGGAGGGACACTCAGACTATCAAATTTTGGTAGAACATGTCCCATCTCCTCTTGCTCCTCCTGCTGCCTGCATGCCTTAATTGTAAGATGAGGAGTCTAATGCTCACCTTTTTTCCCTTTCATGGTTCCTGGTCCAATGTTTGGTAGCCCAACGTCTGAGGGCTCATTTTTAATCAGGACAAGACAAACAAAGGAGGCAACCACGCAGATGAAGCCGGAGACGGACAGAGTTGTGCGCCAGTCGTAGCTCAGAGCCATCAGAGCAGCAACAATAGGGCCCAAGCCACCAGCCAGATTCATGCTGGTGGAGAGAATTGCCCACCACGTCCCAAACTGGGAAGGCTCAAACCACTGTGCAACAGGGAAAGAAAGAGAGTGTGAGCAAAGTGCCATGGAGTGGGAATTAGACTCAGCTCCAAAAACCTGTAATTAAGTCCCTTGGTGGCCAGATCAGATCCTAGCAGACAGAGGTTTATAAAACTAGATAGAAAAATATTTTACTCTTCTATCCCCTTCCATCCAAGAAACTCAGAGCTTTTTGCAAACATTAATGATGTACGCCTCACAGACCCCTACCTTGTGAAGTAGGTCAATATTATTCCCATTTACAGAGGAGGAAATGGAGGTACAGGAAGTTCTCTAACTGATTTATGATGCTGTCATCAAAGGTCTGCCTGCTTTGTACCAAGTAAGGGGATAAACAAAGCATTTCAGCTTGTAACTTTAGGACCCTGATCCTTACTGCAGTGGATGTTGTGGGAGCTCAGCACAAATTGGGCCCTTGCTGACAGAATGATTGCTGTGACTCAGTCCTACTTCTAATGGAGTCAATGGTACAACTTCCATTAATGCCAAAGGGAGTAGGAGCAGGTCCCATCTAATTCAAATACTTCGTTGACAATCTTCTGGAAGTGTTACTTGGTATTTTGTCTTCATTTTCAGTGATATTTCCCCTCTGAGTAGAAACAGTCCTATGTGAAAGGCATTTTCCTCCCAGCTCCATTCATTGCCCACAGTATAGAGCAGAGGAAGCAAGAAGGCTTCATGGAGAGAGAGAGAGAGAGAGAAGCCTCGTATCCAGGTGATTAGTTGTTCAGTCCTCCATCTCTCACATGCACCTGTCCTCATTTTTACATATCCCATTGCCAGGACTAGTCTTGCACAGAGACAGAAATAGGACTACTGGTTTAGAGGGAGGTTCCTACTAATGTTAGTATGGAAGGAAGGGCGTGACCTTCTCCATGGCAGTGCCTTCTTTGTCCCTGCCTTAGACTAAGTCATTTGAACATTTCTACAGGGAACCACAGTTACCAGCCCTTAGCTTCATAACATCAAGCTTTATTTCTTCACACTGCTAAATTATCCTTTTGTGGCTGTCTAAACAAACACACCATTCAGCAGGGGCCCTGCTCACAGTATTCTGTATGTCACTTGATATTCTGTATAGGCAGACTGGATTTTTTTTCTCTTAGGGGCAGAAGGGGTACCTATCATTCTCCCAAAATATCCTGAAATGCAACATGATCTGGCTTGTGATTTATAACTCATGAGCCCACCGCCAGGTCAAACCAAACTTTACTTATTCCTTCTCTCTGCAGTGGACAACTACTAGAGCAAAGAGGCTATGGTGCCTCTGTCTTCACAACTCAGGGGCTGGAATCCAGCAACTGGGGTTTTTCATGATTACAAATTCTGCGGCTAGGGAAATTTAACAAATTAAACTATAATCAACAACCAAAGCTTCGTGCTTAAAACAAACGAATGGAGTAAATAACTCTCCAACTTGAGTATTCTTGGCTTAACTAAGCAGCAGGAGGCATATGAGACTCTTATTCCAAGAAGGGCAGGGGATAGAACAGCTAGGAGTGTTCTCCCACAGACAGCACGCCTGGAGCCATACCGATACTTCACTTCCTGCTAGGAGTTGGAACAACTGTGAATTCACCTATGGTCCCAGCACAAGGACCCCTGCAGTGTTCTCCATACAGTACCTATTCTGGAAGAAGTTAGGACAAGTGTTGCTACGAACTTCACACAAAGCAATCATTCCTGTATCATGCTCTATTCAGTGTCTCCTGCTCAGCGCTTAATTTGTAATGAAAGAGATGCCAGGGTTCAAGCAATATTTTACTTTCATAACTGACGCAACAAGCTCAGAAGTGCTGGGGATATGAACTGCCAAGCCTAGCCCTGGCACTAATTAAGCACTACTCTTGGTGTTCAAATCTGGGACTGCACCCCTGCCAAAAAGAAAAAAAAAAAGTTTTTCAAAGTATACTTACTTTGCGCAGTACCTTCCCACACGGTGGCCACCCCAGTCCTTGAGCCAGCCCATTCAGGAACCACAGTCCTGAAAAGACTGTAACTGTAGAGCTCCAAGA